TGTCTGTGGTTGAAAGGGCAACAGCAGCGCTGTCCAACAGAAATATGGGAGCCGCCATATGTAATTCTAAATTTTCTAATAGCCACATGAAAAGAAAAGGCAAAAGAAACAGGCGAAACTATTAATGAGATGTTCTCTTTCTTCCTTCCTTCCTTTCTTTCTTTCGCTGGGAAAGGTTTGCTCTGAGCTAACATCTGTTGCCAATTTGCTCTCTCTTTTTTTTCCCTCCCCAAAGCCCCAGTACATACTTGTATATTCTAGCCATAAGTCATTCTGGTTCTTCCACGTGAGCCACGACCACAGCATGGCTGCTGACAGACGAGTGGTGTGGGTTGGTGCCTGGGAACTGAACCCAGGCTGCCAAAGTGAAGTGTGCCAAACTTTAACCACCAGGCCATCAGGGCTGGCCCAGAGATGTTCTTTTTTTATTCTTCAAAATTTGGTGTGTATTTTACACTTATAGCACTTTTCCAGACCAGCCACATTTCAAGTGCCCAATAGCCCCAGGAGGCCAGTGGCCACCATAGGGGAGAGTGTGACTTTACAGCCTGATAAAGAGAATAAACTTTTCTTTACCCTGAGCTTTCAGAAGAAAGGATTACAGGATTTGGTGTTGGGGGCTGGAACATTCACACGCTTCACAAATGGCCACATGATCAGAAATCCATAGAGGATGTGCCCCCTGCATTTTTCTATTTTTGTTTTTAATTTCACAAGTAATATGTGATTGTATTTTTATTATAAGAAAAGTCAAGCAATAAAATAAATTGCCTATTAACCACCCCAATACTGCTCCATTCCCAGAAGTAAGCTTATCCATCAGCTGAGTCTAGATCCTTCTAGGCATTTATATGCATATATATTTTATTTTGTTGTACATAAATATTATACAGTCCATGTTGTTCTGCAGCTTGGTGTTGTAGCAATATTTCTTGGTGCTCTTTTCATGTGCATACACAGATCCACCTCAGTCTTTTTAATCACTACATCATATTCCCTACTGAGGGCTTTTGGGTTGTTTTTAATTTACTTCTTGCACCCACTTCCATTTATATATGTGTGAGTGTTTTTCTGGAGTAGATAAAAAGGAGTGTATTTTCTGGGCCAAAGGGAATCTACATCTTAAATTATAATAGGTACTGTCCAGTTGCACCCAAAAAGGAAGCCCAGTTCACACCCCACCTACAGTATGAGGATGCTCATTTTCTCACACCCTTCCATGCACTGGATCTTATTTTATTTTTATTTTATCTTTTTGAGGAAGATTAGCCCTGAGTTAACTACTGCCAATCCTCCTCTTTTTGCTGAGGAAGGCTGGCCCTGAGCTAACATTGTGCCCATCTTCCTCTACTTTATATGTGGGACGCCTACCACAGCGTGGTGTGCCAAGTGGTACCATGTCCACACCCGAGATCCCAACTGGCAAATCCTGGGCCACCAAAGTGGGATGTGCGCACTTAACCACTGTGCCACCAGGCCGGCCCCTGGATCTTATTTTTATTGTAAGTAGTGGTATCAGAAACATGAGTCTCTTAGCAATGATACAAAAGCAATAAAAAAAATTATTTTGAAATTTATTCTATGTTATTCTTCTATTCATATCCAGAGACTCAATTCCAGGCCCAGAGTGAGTCATTAATCAATTTTAATCAAATCAATGAGACTATGATGACATCATCATGTCTCACTGGAGATGTCATTATCTAAAGTAAGTGACAACCAAATATCGTGGATATTATCCCTTAAGAGGCACCCTGGTGGAGAGGGATGGACTCTCTCTCTCTGTGAACCTAGTTTCCCTCTGCACTGGCACAGCCCCCCGGTTCTTTGGTTGGACAGTAGATAAGTTGTTAGCTTATATGGGGGGTCTTGTAAGAAAGAACATAAATCTTTGAACACTCAGCCCAGCTAGATGCTTGGAGAAGGTCCTCAGGGAAGGGAGACCCAGCCTGCCTGGGAGAGCAGAGGGCCCCTCCATCTTCCCAGCTCACTCTGAGCCGTGCGCTCCTAGGGCGGGAGGCAGGCGCAGCCACCCTCACTCACACTGTTTAAATTCTGTCTTCTTTTTGTCTGAGCTCCTCTAGTTGCATCCAGGCAAGTTAGATGCTTTCTATGAGATTCTACTGCACTAATCTCAAAGTGACTAAGCTATTCTCCAAAACTGTGGTCTATATTCGTTCAACTAGGGCAAGTCACACCTTCAATTTTTAGGAATTCTAGGACAGGACCTGTGTGACACTCATAGGGCCCAGGCATGTCCCGGGGAGGGGGCGCCACAAGACCATACATGTTCTCAGAGACTTGACCATCTCGTCAGAGTTCCAGGGACACTTCGGTGGCAGGTGGGCTAAACAGATTAGACCTTGTTTACATTTTGGATCCCCAGGCAGAGGGTAAGGCTCTCACAGTCCCCGCTCTTAATTAGAATTCAGTGTATTGCAACCACGCTTTTTACAGCATTATTTTGAGCAATATAATGTCTTCTTCTTATAATGGTCTTAGATAAAATGAAAGGCGTTATGATAAAGACAAAGGCTTCCTTCGTGGGCTTCCTCCTGCGACCAGAGGACAATATCCAGGCAGGCGGCCTCCCGGGGTCCCTGGAGAGGGACAGCAGATGAGCTGCCAGGGAGCCTCCAGGGGTGGGGTTGCCTCAGAGAACCTGCCATCATCTGATCCTCAGCTTTGAGTTTCCTCAGCTTTGGTTTCGTGAGCATCCCAGGTAAGCTATGGCCTTTGCAAGCAAATTGTATGAACCATGCTACCAAGAACTGATCTAAAACCAGAATCCATGCAGCCATTTGTTTATCAAACTTGTATTGACACAGAGCCTGAGCCAGATCATATCTTTGGCTCAGGATCTAATGAACAAAACCGGCTTGGTCTTGGCTCTCACGGAGCTTATGGTCCTCCAGTGGGAGAAATACATAAACAAGCTGTTTCAACCCAATGAAATGAGTGTTATGGGGGAGCAACTAAGAGAGGCTCAACCCTGGAGAAAGTTACATATTTAACATGAGGGTGGGGAAGGAAAGAGCCAGTGAGGAAGAATATCACAGGAAAGGGAGGGTACGATTGCTGGAGCAAGTCTCAAAGGAGCAGAACTAAAGTTGAACCTGAACACCCAGGAGAGGTTGACTATGGGCAAGAAGAGGGTCTCCCTGCTGAGCAGGGAGGGAGAAGGGAAGGATGATCAAGGATACATACAATTAGAGGCTAAATGAGAGGCAGTTCTTGTCTGTACAATCTACTTGGGGGGCAAGAGGTTAGGAGGGAGGTTGACTACTGAGAGTGAGGGGGAGGCTCTGATTTGACAAAGATTATAATAAGCACTGTGGGAGAATGAAGGGCATCTCTGAATCAGGAAGTATTCTGGCCCGAGCATGTATCCTGGATGCCCTCTCACAGCACCTGCCTCCAGAGTGAGGGCATAGAGAGGTCAGGCAGGCAGATACATCAGGGGTAAGATTTTAGCAGCCTGGCACCACTGAATTAACAGACCGTAGATCTCGATGAGGAGGGGAGTGAAGAGCAGAAGGAGATGACACAGGGAGAAAAAGTCTGTTCATGGGTTCCTCATCGCAGTGAGAACTGTCACCAAGCCGCTACCACAGGAGTCAGAAACTGGAGCATCGCTCCCAAGTTCCCCCTCAACCTCAATCCATCATCGGGATACATCGGGTCCACAGCTTATCCATCTCTTTGGTTCATCCACTTCTTCCCTGGTCCCTCTGCTCAGCTCCCCCCAGAACTCTGTCCGTGATTATAGGGCAGATCTTTGCATCAGAGTTATTTTATTGCTGGGGAAAAGCTCAAACGGCTTCTAGGACCAGACAACAAATGGGTGAAGCTGCCAGAGACCGTGGCACATTGAAAAGGCCTTTTCCATTTACCAGGGAAGGAGAGCAGTGTCATGAGGAAATGTGGGCCTGATGTTTTGCTAGAGATTTCTATATTTTAAGAATAATCTAGGGGGCCGGCTCCGTGGCGGAGTGGTTAAGTTCGTGCACTCCGCTGCCGCAGCCCAGGGTTCAGATCCTGGGCGCGGACATGGCATCTGCTCGTCAGGCCATGTTGAGGCGGCATCCCACGTCCGACAACTAGAAGGACCTGCAACTAAGATATACAACTGGGGGGTTGGGGAGATAAAGCAGAAAGAAAAAAAAAAAGATTGGCAAGAGTTGTTAGCCCAGGTGCCAATCTTTAAAAAAAAAAAAAAAAACTAAAATAGTTTTATAGAGAAATTTCCTTATTTTTAAATGCAAGCAAACTATTCAAAGTAAAATTGTTGTTGAAGTGTTTAGTGCAGTGTTCTGACGACTTTGAAATACATCAAAAGATGCACTGGTGGTTGGGTGGAGGGATGGATAGGCATGTAACAAAGCAAATAGCAGAAATGTTCATTGTAGCAACTCGGTGATGTGCAAGATGGCTGTGCACTGCACAGTTCTTTCAACTTTTCTGTACGCTTGACAAGCTTCATAATAAAAAGTGGGGAAAAATTTTTTTAATTGAAAAAGAATTGTGAGCCCATGAGCCACTACTTTGTGACTTCTTTACAAGTTGTAACGGACTTTATGAAAGTGGGGTGGGGTAAACGAGTTAATAATATAAAGGGCGTGGAACAGTCCCTAGAATATTAATAAATATTGGATATTATCATTTGGAACGAAGGAAATGGACACAGATTGGAAGAGCTGGGCATCTCAATGAATTTCATCGAGGGCTTTCGGTGAATTTTCATTACAGTGTACAGTGTAGGGACCAGGGTTCCACGGTTGATAAACTGTTGCTCTGTGAGCTTATGCCTGTAAATGCCTGTAATTTCCATCTCTGCGCCTCACGTTGCTCATTTTTACACTAATTAGTTTTGGATTCTAAGCTCCCTGGCTGTTCCAAAGTTCTCATTGATCTGCTACCTTTCCTGTTTCCGCTATAGGTGTCTCCATTACCTTTCTTCTCTTTCCTTTAACGCCTTCCTAATGTAAAAACTACATTTCCCATGAGCGCCCACAGGAGTCGACGTCGCGCAGTTCTTTGTCGTCGCTCAGCGTCCTTTATACCTACTTCCGCCCCCGAGCTACTTCCTTTCCTTTCGGCGGCGCGCGGCGGCAAGATGGCGGTGCAAATTTCGAAGAAGAGGAAGGTGAGATGCTGGGGCCCAGGTCCATGGGATTGCAGCCCTGTGCGCTTTATGGGGTTTTCGAGGTGCCGCCGCGAGATCCGCAGCTCCGTGCCCTGCCCTGGCAAGCGGCTTGGCCCGCGTGGGGTTCCCGAGGGCCGCGGATGGTGGTGGATTGAGCGCAGGGCCTGAGCCGGGCGAGCACAGTGTGGCGGGGGAAGGGGAGAGAGATTTCTGCCGGTTCCGGGCGGAGAGCAGGGATGTGCACCCGGCGCCCCCACTGCCCCGGAGAAGGCGTTTGTGAGCATTTACTGGTCAACAAGTAAAATTAGTAAAGGGGTTGTATTCCGAGGGCGCCGTGGCTTTGGGAAGGCCGGTAGCAGTGACCCCATTCCTGCCTTCTTACTAGTCGTGTCTGGGTGCGGCCTTCTGACCCCAAAGACCGCGATTGCAAGGCTGCTGACAATTTCTCCCTCCATCTGGGACCCGAGGAAAAGGCGTGGGCGAACTGAGGGAGGGGACCTGGGGAGGACACTTTCTCAAGTGTAACTTTGCGCCTTCGCGTGGGGAAGAAATGTGCAGAGTCCGTTTGCTTTAGAAACGCGCGGTTTGCCATTTGGGGTGTACGCATATGGCTGTTGAGATTAAATCCACACGCTTTTGTGAGTTAGGGTTTGCCAGCTCAGACACGGGTACGTGAAGTGAGGCGGGGTAACGTGGCTGCGGTTCTTCGGATGGTCCAGGTTGCGTCTACAAGGGACACTGCTTGCCTTCAGTTACCGTCTGTCCTTTTCTCTAGTCTCAAGCGTAGTATCCCTGCGGTGCCGAAGGAATCAGTTGTAAATGTACCATTTTAGAGCAGCTTTTTGTTTAACCTGTGTACATCTAAGTGCCAGTCTTAAAAACCCTTCAGTGAAGAGATGATGACGAGTCTGACTGGAGGTGTCATCTTTGTCCAGGAGGCCCCTGCTCTGTGCTGCGTTCTGTGGCGCAGGTGTAAGGGTCCTGGGTCAAAGTAACTTCCAAAAGATGACCTAGAGGCATTTGTCTGAGAAGGGTTGCTACCTTACTGTTGGAACGAGGGTAATAGGATGGATGGTGATGGATCGTTTGTTGGAAGTGTTGCATTTTGATGAGGGTTGCGGTGGCTGAAAGACCAGGCAGGAGAAAGTGAGCCTGCACCCCTGTCCTAATTTTGGATTTTCCTTTTTCCTTAGTTTGTCGCTGATGGCATCTTCAAAGCTGAACTGAATGAGTTCCTCACTCGGGAGCTGGCTGAAGATGGCTACTCTGGAGTTGAGGTCCGGGTTACACCCACCAGGACGGAAATCATCATCTTGGCCACCAGGTAGACGCTCATTTTCCTGGCTGGGTGTTGTCTATATTAAGATAGTTTATTCTGTAAACTTAAGGGGACAGCTAAGGAATTTGGCCTTAGCGAATGTGGGTTTTTTAAAACTGCATTTTTTATCTCACTCCAGTTCTGGTCATCCAAAGTTTATACTTGTCAGATGATTGTGAGTTTACTACCGAATATATGCAAGATTTAAAGGGACGTCTGGAATTTTGTGAGAGCTGTGAGTTGTCACTGTTTATTTTCTCCAGGACGCAGAATGTTCTTGGTGAGAAGGGCCGGCGGATCCGGGAGTTGACCGCTGTGGTTCAGAAGAGATTTGGCTTCCCTGAGGGCAGTGTAGAGGTGAGTGGTCCTGGCTTATGTCAGAGATAACTGTGGACCTGGAAATGGTTCTTTAGGGTGGTACTTCTAGAAACCCTTACTCTGAAGGCCTTGTTTATTCATGATTAATGAGTGTCGTGAATGGGTTGGTATCTTGTTGAAGTTTTCTTGATAAGCAGTGGGCGTAATGTTACAGGACTGTTCTGCTCACTTCTTGGTTCAGGGATTGTGCATTCAACTTGGGTATAGTAATGAGACACATAAAGGTTTGGCCACCCCCTCGGTGTCTGGTGTGGCTATAGGAAGAGGTAGGCATGGAGGGCAGTGAGGAATGGTGCAGCCTCAGTCACTGGGGATGTGCTAGGTGTGGCTGGTAGAGGCGCTTTAGTCCTTGAGATGTGAGTGATGCGTACAGTGGTGATGGTAACAGGTTTCAGGATGTGCCTTGTTTCCTTCTGAAAGCTGTATGCTGAAAAGGTGGCCACGAGGGGTCTGTGTGCCATTGCCCAGGCAGAGTCTCTGCGCTACAAACTCCTGGGAGGCCTTGCTGTGCGGAGGTAAGTGTCCTGAGACTTAATGGTCGTGCCCTTTTCATGGATCAGAATGCGGTGTGTCTGACATTTTGTTAATTCAGCAAATGAACTGTTTCTACATGGCAGGTTCTGCTAGTCTCTGAGGTTTTTAACAGTAAGATTTTGCCAGTCCGTGTTCTTGCTGAACTGACAGTCCAGCAAGGAAGACTAGTAAAAAAGCAAGTTTTTAAAGAGTGGTCTGTGCTACAATAAAGAAGTTCTGGGTGCTTTGGGAGCAGAACAGAAATAGAGTTCTCTAGGTAGGGTAGGTTAGGCCCCCCGTTGGAGTCATTCAGATCCATTATGTTAACTCCTCTGGGAACTATAAAGAGATAATACGTAGTCCTGATGAGAGAGAGCTTAAAATCAGTCACTTATTTCTGTAGGCTTTGTGTAGGGAGGAGCCATGGACTATAAAGGATGTGAGGTGGTTAGATTGGCCCTGGAGCTGGGCCTGCTGGAAAAGGGTTCAGCAGGCAGTTCTTGGTGCAGCTTGACTATTCGAAGTAATTGGAATGCCTTGCCGGGCCTGTGGAATTTAGTCAGTGCTTCATGCAGAGCCCTGGGAGCGTTTTCAGCAGAGGAAGGAAATGACAGCTGTGCTGTGGGCAAGGCCGTGTGGGAAAGACTGCTCACCTGGTTTAAATGGCAGCAATACCACTTTGAACGGTGATTCTCGAAAGGTTGGGCCCTGGGCCAGCGTGACTGCCATCATCTGAGGACTTGTGAGAAATAGAAATTCTAAATCTCCGCCCCGGACCCACTGAAACAGTGAGGGTGTAGCCAGCCGTCTGTCTTAACGAGTCCTCCAGGTGGCTTTTGCACACACTGAAGTTTGACTCTGAAGTTCTGAGACCTGAGCAAGTTACTGCACTTCTCTGACCCTTGGATCTCCTCTCTAAATGGGGATCAGCATACCACCTCCTTCTTGTGGGGGTTAAATGAGGAGCTAGGAAAGGGCCTGGGGCATGGTGGTGGGATTTAGTCCTTCCTTTCCCTGTTGAAAGTGCAGCCAACTCTCCAGTTAGTAGCTCCCAGGGTGTGAACTGATGAATGAGTTGGGGAGCGGGGTATTTTAAGGTTTGGCCGTTTTATAGACCTAGTAGTGTTTTCGCCCAGCACTCTAGTCAAGGAGCCTAAGTTAGTAGTTAGGGTTCCTTAATGAACATGAGTTTGGAGGGTGAAGAATGGTTCAGTAATCCATAAAGGGGCCACTCGGTGTCAGGGATACTTCTGGGCTCCTACTGATAACTTGCCTTGTTCAGAAATCCTGAGTTTGCGAAGATGGACTAGACTGGAACGGCCTGCTCCAGAATGGAGCCGGGGGGGCGGAGGGGGCCCTTGATGATTGTGAGTTTAAGAGTGCAGTGGTCAGCCTTGGTTGCACATTAGAATCTCCTGGGGAGTATTTTTAAATATGTATGCCTAACCTTTACCACCCCCACCATTTCCTTGCTAACTTAATTGGCTTGGCCTAGGCTTCTGGAGTTTTTTTGTTTTGTGTTTTTTAATTTTAACTTTCTTGAGTTGACTCTAACGAGCAGCCTAGGTTGGAAAGCACTTGGTTAGAAAGAACTTGGCGTGCATTCCCCAGGAATTAGCCTAAAGTTAGGTGTGATGGGAGTGGAAGAGAAAGGAACGTTGAAGAAGTGCAGATTAATGAGTCTTACTGCTTTGTTTTATGACACCGTGGGGCTGCGTAGGGTTGAGCAGTCCTGTCTTTGGGACAACGTGACGGCCTGTCTGTCTCTTACTCCCCAAAGGGCCTGCTATGGCGTGCTGCGCTTCATCATGGAGAGCGGGGCCAAGGGCTGCGAGGTCGTGGTGTCTGGGAAACTCCGAGGACAGAGGGCTAAATCCATGAAGTTTGTGGACGGCCTGATGATCCACAGTGGGGACCCTGTCAACTACTATGTGGACACTGCTGTGCGCCATGTGCTGCTCAGACAGGGTAAGCGCCTGGGAGTGCTTGCGGGTAAAGGTCCTTAGCGGATGGATGTGGTCTTCCACGCACACCTCAGCGTTTGGGGAATTCACCCTGGGAGTAGTGGAGCGTGTTTATACTCCCTGGGTTTGTTGATCAGCTGCGGTGAATTGCTGAGATCGGTCAGATCTGAGAGTTGGTTTCTCCTTATCTCAGCCACCTGTGTACCCTTCAGTGATGACACGATGACGAGTCAGAAAGGTCACATCCTGCTCTTGGTCCTTGTCAGTGCCACGTTCTGTGGTGCTGTGCATGGGTTCCTTTGGCAAAAGTGTCCTGTTCATTGATTGATTAGAGGCATTTGTCTGAGAAGGGACCAGACCCAAGGGTGCTTGAGTAACTTACTCTTCTCTTCCCTCTGCCCTATTCTGTTGTGTAGTGGGAACTGGTCAAACCACAGTTAGGTCCTAACTATGGTGTCCTCTAGGTGTGCTGGGCATCAAAGTGAAGATCATGCTGCCTTGGGACCCAAGTGGTAAGATTGGCCCTAAGAAGCCGCTGCCTGACCACGTGAGCATTGTGGAACCCAAAGATGAGATACTGCCCACCACCCCCATCTCAGAACAGAAGGGTGGGAAGCCAGAGCCGCCTGCCATGCCCCAGCCAGTACCCACGGCATAACAGGTATGTCTGTAGGGGCCCCTTGGGGTGGGATAGAACCCTATTCATTTGTCTCCCTGTTAATACTTGGATCCTACACTGTGGTAAGCACTTGGTGTATAAAAATTGGATTACGCTTGTGCCCTACATGGGAGAACACAGGTTGGAGCTGAGCCCATTTAACCTGGGATTCTCTTGGGAGGGATGTTTGCCTTTGGTCTCCTTATTTACGAAGTTCCTGCATGTACCACTGTTTGAAATAAGAGTTTCCCTTTATCGTCCACCGTTGCTCAAAAATTTTAAGGCCCTCTTGCTATTAGTTAGCTGTCTGTTTCAGAACCTCCCCCCGCCTCCCCCCCGGAGAACCGTAACATCAGGCCTCTCCTAGGCCAGGCAGCTCTGCTTTTCTGTTTCTGGGTCTTTTCTGTGTGTTTATTAATCTTCATGCAAACCGTAAGTGGGAATGTATCCCCATTCGGTAATTGAAAGAACCTGATACTCAGATGGAGTTTCTCTTCTTACTGTTGTGCTTTATTTGGTTTCAGGGTCTCCTTGGCAGCTGGATCTGGAGTCTGGATGTTGCTCTATAAAGACCTTTAATAAAATGTTTTTAAAAGATACATGGCCTGACCAGACTGTACGTCCGGTGTTCAGACTGAGGGTCTTGTCGCCACATGGGAGCATTACTTCATTGATTCTTAGGGCTGCCTGGCTCACGATGTCTGTGCTTTCCCAGAAATCCTCCGTTTCAGCTGAACTTGTGAGGCAAGGGCCAAGACAGGAGGACCCAAGCAGAGTTAACCAGGGAAGTATCCTGTTGGGGGGAGTAAATCTGGTGATGGAGAAGGCGGATTGCTAACAGAAGGCACCTTGATTAGCTCACCTGTGCTTCAGGGTTACAGGTGTGGAAGAGGTATTATATACTTAAAATGATTTTCTGTATTGCACATAGAAAATAAATACAATAGCTGTTACATTTTGGGTCATACTGTGCTCTAGGTGGCGTGCTTTAAATGCTTTCTCATTTAACCCTCAATGTCTCTAAAGCATAAAGCGAATTTGTGCCGTTGGTGAAGAACCTGAAGCTCAGAAGTCAATTTCCCTAAGCAGTGTAGAGCTGTGGTTAGAATTCACATTTCCATGTCCTGTTCTCTTAGTCGTTATACTCTAGAAAAGTATAAAGAATGTTTAATTGTCTACAGTTTCATCTGTCAATTTGAAGTGTTTTCTACTCATGTCTTTTAAGAGATTGGGTGCTCTTAGTTTATTCAGGTGAAACTAGTGAGGGGCAGGCTACAAAATCCTACAAGACTAATTAGAGTGAATTAATGAATTATGTTGGGAGCACACTGACAAATGTATCTCTGTGTGTGTGCCTCTTTTTAATAGAAACTTTGATGTCTGTAGTCATGCATCACAATGTTTCAGTCAACGCTGTACACGTATACCGTAGTGGTCCCATAAGATAAGTATTCATATAGTCTGGGTGTGTGGTAGGCTGTACCATCTAGGTTTGTGTGAGTACACTGATGTTCACACAGTGACAAAATCACCTAACAGCGCATTTCTCAGAACATGTCCCTGTCGTTAAGCGACCCATGGCTGTACTGCCTAGACAGTAACTTCTCACTGTTTTTGTCAGTGACAGTCTCATTAGTAGAGATAGTCTCTAGATTATTCTGTAACCACTGGCATTGCTAATGTGTTAATGACCATTTACTGTGTTCCAGGGAGTGGGTTCGTGTATTTGTATTATCTCATGGCCAAGAACCAGATCCTGAATACAAAAAGGTTTCATTTGCCCATGCTTCCCTTCACTCTGGTCTGCCGCATTTCCAGGAATGAGCTCTTAAGCCAAGGGAAGTTTGCTAGGAAGGGTTGAGAGGTGGTTTTGAGCAGACTGGCTGGTATTGGGTCTCTTCAGTAACAATGCACGTGGGTAAAGTGAGATTGAGGTTCCTTTGAATAAATGTGTGCCCACCCCCCAAATCTAATTTTATATAGGCAGCTCTTGTGCTATTTGGCTGCCATGGGAACTGGGCAAATTGATAAGGTTTTTTGTTTTCTTTGAGGAAGATTAGCCCTGAGCTAACATCTGCTGCCAATCCTCCTCTTTTTGCTGAGGAAGACTGGCCCTGAGCTAACATCCGTGCCCATCATCCTCTGCTTTGTATGTGGGACGCCTACCACAGCATGGCTTGCTACGTGGTGCCATGTCCACACCCAGGATCCAAACCAGCGAACCCTGGGCCACCGAAGCAGAATGTGTGCACTTAACCACTGTGCCACCAGGCCAGCCCCGGCAAATTGATAGGGTTTTATTTATCCCTTGTGGGTAAAATTCTTGGCAGTTTGCAGTTTTACTGAAAGTTAGTGTTGAAACTGAGCTCAACTGCTTTATTCCTGGACTCATGATGTAGTTCACTTGTGAGGAGATTGGTAGTGAAACTACAACTAACTTGAGCATCCAGAGTACTGGGTGCTGGAAACAGGTGAAGACAGTCCTGGTCATCTAGAATCTTAGCATCTAGTACTGCCATAGCCAGTAACAGTGCTGTGTTTAATTAGGCGATCTTTTGAATTCCTTACCTTCCTAATGAGTTGTCTACCAACCTTGGTCCACTTAAATCTGGAAGTCCTGTCTGTGGGATTCAGTAGTGCTGTTAACTGCCCACGAGGTGGTGCTGTAACAGCAGCTGTGCAGCAAAGCAGCAGCTTGGGCAGGAAAAAGCAACTCATGGAAGTAGGACACGGAAAAGTACCAGTTATTAGTGTACAAGTATACAGCTTGAATTATAAATGAACATCTTTGTATAGCCATTATTCAGATAAAGAAAGGGAGATAGTGGGATTTTTTTTTTTTTTTAAGATTTTATTTTTCCTTTTTCTCCCAAAGCTCCCCGGTACATAGTTGTGGCATGTGGGGTGCCGCCTCAGCATGGCTTGATGAGCAGTGCCATGTCCGCACCTAGGATTCGAACTGGCAAAACCCTGGGCCGCCAAAGCAGAGCGTGTGAACTTAAACACTCTTCCATGGGGCTGGCCCCCAAGGGTGGGATTTTTAAAAATCTTTTTACTTCTGAAAACCACATAAGATAAATGTAGATCGTCAGTGAGCACTTGAACCACAGCCCATCGAGAAATGCAAGAACCCTAGAGGAAGCCATCACCACCCCCCCCAGACTCTCCCAGTGAATGGTATCTCAGCTGTCCTTTTTTTGTGAGGAAGATTAGCCCTGAGCTAACATCTGTGCCAATCTTCCTCTGCTTTTATGTGGGATGCCTCCACAGCATGGCTGATGAGTGGAGTAGGTCCGTACCCAGGATCTGAACCTGTGAACCCGGGCCGCTGAAGCAGAGCATGCGGAACTTGAACCACTTGGCCACGGGGCTGGCCCCCTCAGCTGTCCTTTGTCACTCTGCCTAAGGTTCAAGATTCCAGGTGTGAACATCTGACTGGCCAAGCCCAGTGTCTGGAGGTAGGGAGAAAGATAGCTAGCCCTTTTGGCTTCCACAGTGGAGGTGGGGCCCAGCCTCATGTACAGATTCACAATGCCCCCTTTCCCTCAAGGCAAGGTGGTGATGCTGGATAACCAAAGCTTGTGAAATGGCCCTTGGAACCCTGGAAATAAGGCTATTGGCAACATGGAAGCAAGTGCCATGGCCTTTCATGGACTTTACACCAAAAGGCTGTTAGGCTCTGAAAAGTTAGGTTCTGATGGTTAGCATTCTTAGCAGCCAGTGACGGACCTCAAACAGGAGCTGGGAGCTGACTGACCAGCCCACCCACCAGGCAAGGAAAGAGCCCCTGCTGGAGTGTGAGAACTTGGGAATAGGCCCAGAAGGCAAGGAGGGGTTGGGGGCAAGAGGACATCACTGTTAGTCTGGAGAGCCAGGAGAAACAAACTGGTGGGGTCAGGACAATGGGTAAAGGTTATTTTGAGGGGGTTCTGCCACCAGGCAGAATCTGGGCTTGCAAACCACTCTTGCAGAAGCTGCTGGAGCCCACTCAAAGTGGTCATCCATGGAGCCTGCTCCCTGCCTCCAGCCAGGCGATCCTCCCCACTGCTGGCTGGGCAATGAGGCAAAGGCTCTGAGGACGCACGCCCTGTGGGAGCGTAGATACCCTTCTCTGCGGAGCACTTTTCAAAGAGGAGGTGGTTGGGGAGAAGCTGAGCTTTGCAGTTAGACTCCTGAGTTCAAATCCTGACACCACCACTGATGCGTCCAGGGTGACTTGGGACCTTTCTCATCCTTAGTTGTCTCACAGGGCTATTGTGGGAGTTAACGGAAATCTAAATATCAATACATTTCTTTAGTTTTTATTATTTAGTATATTAGGAGACATAACAGTTAAAGAGCCCAGCCCTTCAAGCCAGACTGGATTCAGAATCAAGTCCACAATATAGCAGTGTGAGCATGGGCACGTCAATTACACCTCCCTGCCTCCGTTTGCACATCTGCATGAGGAGTTCTTTGCACAGCGCCTGACCCATAGCAAGTGCTCCGTAAAGGCCAGCTATTACTACCTTCAGCATATCCTCTTGGAAGTAAGTCACTGAGAACTTAACTTCATGGTAATGGAGTCTCCCCCTCCTCACTGTAAGGGCCCTAAAGGGGCCCTGCTTTCTGCTTGTGCTGGGAAGTGGGCATAGCAGGGCAGGTATCGTTAGCCCCATTTTCCAGGGGGTGAATTTGGCCTTTTTCTGTGCCATGCTCCATCCAAGCGATTGTTTCTGAGCTCCAGTGTTGCTATGTATAAATGCAGCTGTGGTATGTCATAGTTCTGCCCACATCAGGAAAACATTTAGGTATCATTGAGAGTCAACATTTTCAACCTCAAAAGATAGTTTTTCTTACTGTTTTCTTCCTCGAGGAGGTGAGATTTTGATAGTTTATCTATGAAACAAACCATTTCCCTATTTGTCATTAATCAAAGCTATATTTGTAACTGGATAAGCAGCATGACTGCAGTTGGAAGGTAATTGTTACATGCCCCTAGCCTGCTGTGAACATCTCATGTAATTTTCCACATGCCTGTAATGGGCAGATTCCATTACACTACTGAACTAATTTTACAGCAGTTTTAATCAACCCAAACAATACATCTTAGGAGAATATGTGATTTCTCTTAGGCTTTGGACAATATTTAGAATATCTTGAGATCCCCACTTCTGATTTGAGAACAAGTAACATGAGACCCTAGGTTGGGAAGAACTTATCTGATCCCAAATCCTCATTTTTACAAATAACATGGAGCCCCAGCAGTTCTGAAATTCAAATGAAACCATTCCTCTGCTGCTCAGTCCTGTATTGTACTAACAGCTCAGCTGGCCGGGTGCACCTGGGCCTTTGTCCACCGAGCGGGAGTGCTGCTGTGATGGATTCTTCTCGCCCTCACTAGTGGGCCACCTGCCCCCACGACCAGCCTGTGCTGGGCAGCCCTTTATGCAGTGAGCCAGAGGAGCTGGAGTCCTTGAATCTTACATTGCCTTAGAGAGGGCAGGGTTCCACTGGCTTCAAGAGTATTTTTGTGGGGCCAGCCCGGTGGTGCAGCGGTTAAGTTTGCACGTTCTGCTTTGGTGGTCCAGGGTTCGCCAGTTCGGATCCCGGGTGCGGACATGGCACCGCTTGGCAAGCCATGCTGTGGTAGGCGTCCCACATGTAAAGTAGAGGAAGATGGGCGTGGATGTTAGCTCAGGGCCAGCCTTCCTCATCAAAAAGAGGAGGATTGGCAGCAGTTAGCTCAGGGCTAATCTTACTCAAAAGAAAAAAAATATATTTTTGCTTTTAGAGGGAGGGGGAGGGAGAGCATAGGCACAGCAAGAGGGCCGCTTTCCTCCCCGGGCAGGTGGACCAGAGAGAATTACCCTCAATATACCAGGAAAAACAGTCATCACCATTTACTGTCTGGGTCCAATAGATACCTCACCTTTTATATTTTAGGTCATATTACAAATAATTCACAGAAGTAAGAAAGGGAGAGTGAAAAACAGTTTTATAAACTTTAACACATACTAACAGCACAACATAATATACTAAAAACCATTGAGTTGTACTCTTCAAAAATACATGTATATGTGGATATCTACACACACACATATGTGAATTAAAGCAATCAATTTCATATTTTCCTTGAAGGTATATATAGCCAAAATGAGCGATGTCCCTTGAATGCAATGATGCTCTTCAACTGCCGTGTATGAAGCTGAAACGTATTCATTGTAACTACTGATTCTGCATTTCAAATACGTCTCTGATAGGCTCTAGCTTATCATTGCTTCTGGGATTTTTGTTTGTTTTCTTTTGCACTTGCATTGTCAACAGCAGTATTTTTTAAATTTTTTGATGGCTCATAGTTTTGTTGGAGAGAGTACAGGCACTTTGCTCCATAATTTTAAAACATTTTCATCTTTAGATTTGTAAAGATCAATTCAAATGACCAAATCAATGACTTTTTAAAAGTTTCTGCAGTATCTATTTCCCTCCAATCACCTCTGTACACAAGTGCCTTCAGCATGTTTCCACTTAATGAGCTGTAACAAACTATCAAGTAAATTTTGGGGCATAGGAATCATAAAAGATAAATATCGTCACATCACCTTTTAGCAAAACAGGATGGTCCAGGTTTCTTGGCATTTTTTTGTTTTTCCTTGAACTGGTTTTTTTTTTGGAGTTCATAATAGTTTACATCAATGTGAGACTTCAGTTGTACGTTATTTCTTGCCTGTCACCACATAAGTGCTCCCTTCACCCCCTGTGCCCACCCCCCACCCCCCTTCCCCTGGTAACCACTGAACTGTTTTCTTTGTCCATGTGTTTGTTTATATTCCACATATGAGTGAAATCATCTGGTGTTTGTCTTTCTCAGTCTGGCTTATTTCACTTAGCATAATTCCCTCCAGGTAGGATAGTCCAGGTTTTTGTCTTAAAATATTGTGTGACAGGGCAGCCCAGTGGCATAGCGGTTAAGTTCGCATGCTTCGCCTCAGCGGCCTGGGATTCATGAGTTTGGATCGCCAGCATGGACCTACACACTGCTCATCATGCCATGCTGTGGTGGTGTCCCACATACAAAATAGAAGATTGGCACAGATGTTAGCTCAGGGCCAATCTTCCTCACCAAAAAAAGGAATCTGATAAAAAAAAAGAAAAGAATATATATATATAGTGTGATGAAATCCTTCCTGTTGAATGACTTAACTGAATAATGACTTAAAATACCATATTTCCTTTTTGCTTTTAGAAATATATCGTTCACAGGCCAGCCCTGTGGTCTGGTGGTTAAATTCCCATGCTCCACTTTGGCAGTCCAGGGTTTTGCCAGTTCGGATCCTTGGTGCGGACTTGGCACTGCTCATCAGGCCACGCTGAGGTTCCCACGTAGCACAGCCAGAAGGACCTACAACTAGAATATACAACTATGTACTGGGGGACTTTGGGGAAAAGAAGGTGGGGGAAAAAAGTTTGGCAACAGATGTTAGCTCAGGTGTCAATCTTTAAAAAAAAAAGAAAGAATATCGTTCACTCGCCCACTCTTGAGTTTGAGAAAATTCATCTAGGAAAGACTGCTTGTGTGACCAGTTTCCCCATCATCTTTAGAGACTAGAGTGCTGCTGTGTCTGCATTCATTTTCCTATTTGTCTAAGAAGTGTGAGACGTCTGTCAGGTGTCTTCTCTTCTGTCATTACGAGCGGAGAAAGAAAAACCCCTTAATTCTCAACCAATGTCTCTATAGACTTCTCTCATACCTTTTTGAAAGATGATATACAGTACTTTGGGAAGTGCAATATGGAAACTGAAGGATGATGTAAATAGTAGTGGTTCTTTTCACTGTTGCGTCTTCCTTCTAGGCAATACCATCATTCTTCCATTTTCTTACCATCTTAGTCTTGTTTGGTATAGTTGGGAATAATTGATGAGTACTGTGAAATAATTTTTAGGCTAAAACAGCAAAGTTTTTCAAGATATAGGAAAAATAAGTTCATCAAGATCTCATAATGTATTTTGGGTTTATAAAGTCCATATGGTGATTGCAAGACAGAATGTTTCATTCTATTTTTTAAAAAATAAGTCAATTTTCTCATTGTTCTTGAAGCCCACTAGAAAGAATAACAGTCCTTACAAATAATTAGACCTCCTCAAAGAAACTCAGAAACTAAATTTGAGTCCAGTGGCTTGTGATGGTATACCAAGACTTAAGTCTCTGTTCTCAGCTGGAGAGAGGATGGCAAACCTGTGTGGCTAAGGGCTTAGTGCTCAGGACTTGGGGTCTGGTCTCTCACTGAACGGTAACAGTCCCTCCCATTCAGCAGGCAGCCTAGGGGTGAGGTGGGGCGGGGGGGGAGAGCAGAAGACTAGGAGCCAGGGAGACCCTCCATATATGTATGGTCTCTCCATCTAACCAGTAGTCCTAGGAAATCAGGACACTTGGGGTGCCACCTTTTGCTTGTGTTCCTGTGAGCCTCACACACCAGGGACATGAACCATGTCTCCACTCTTCCAGGTGGAGACCCCGAAGGGCAGGGACAGTATCCCACTGGGCTGGATTTCCCGTGGTGGAAATGATACATCTCCTACCTCTGAGCAACAGCTGGGCTGCACGCAATGCTCTTCTCAGATTAGCAGAGCCTGGGCGAGGCCACGTGGGGAGGGCAGCTTTGGAGATTGCTGGACCCACTTTGGAATCCTGGCTCTGCCATCACTCAACAGCCCGGTGACCTTAGTAAGCAAGTCACTTCACAACTCTGAGTCTCTGCTCATTTATGGGGGGGGAGGGGGGAAATAATACCTACCTCGCAGGTATTATGAGATAGAAATCCAGGAAACTTTGATTTAGCATGTTCTGTGGGAGGCCTTATTGTAGGCACTGGGGGACACGGAGATGACGCTGACACCTTTCCTGCCTCAAAGGACATCCTGTGGGTGTGTCAGGAGAGACCAGAGACATCACGTGTGAAGGCCTGGCCATATGTCAGGCGATGGAAGAGCGGCAGATAAGGAAGGGTCACAGGAGAGTGGTCAGCTCTGGGGTGGAGGCTGTCAGGCTGGCCTCGGGCAGGTGAGGGAAGGGCATCGGCACTGCATGAAAGAGCATTGAGGGCACAAATGATCATCATGAGGGAAATGGGGCAGTCTGCTTGGCACACAGGAAGTGCCCAGCCCAGGTGAGGCAGCCATGTCCTTAGGGGAGCTTGCCCTGGATTCGCCCCTGCTTTTCTACTCAGGCTCTTGCCAGGGTAAACAAGCAATATGGCACCTTCCAGGCTTTGTCCTGGGTGTTATCCGTGGGGGCGGGGGGCAGACAGGCTCTGAGGGGCTAGGCCTCCACCCTCCACCCCTCCCCCTTCTGCCATTATCAGCTGTGTCCAGATGGTCACAGGCTCCCTAATCTGGGATAATCGGAGGGTAGGAGCTCAGCTGGGACCCCGGCCTTTGTGCTGGGCTGTGGTAGGCCAGCCCCAGCTGGAGAGACCCTGTACCCAGGGCCCTGGGGCTTTGGAAGATGGCAGGGGCTGGGGCTGGCCCTGTGCTGGAGGGGATGCCTGGCGTGGATGATAGCTCTTCAAAAGGCAATCTGAGTACAAATGAGGGGGAGCCCAGATGGGGTCTGGCCAGCTCCTCAGGCCTCTGACACACAGGCACAGAACCTGAACCGCTGGGCCTCTGCCTCGCAGACTCTGTCTCTGTCTGGCGTCTTGTTCCCTCTCTCTCCTCTGAGCTCCCCTCTCCTAACCCAGCAGTTAGATTCTGTCCCTAGAGCCAGAGGCCAACCTGGGTGCTTCTAATGGCATCAGGGGTTTGTGCCCCGTGTTGATCGGGGACCTCGCAGGTCCAGGTGCAGAGCCGGGCTGGCTGGGTTCTCAGGCTCGTGGCTCCGGCCCCCGCCACCCTGGGCCTGCAGTTTGCTGCGAGCCTCCACCCCAAGGCTGCTTAGGTTTGTGTGTTTTGTTTCAGCTTCCTTCATGTGCGGGGAGCCCCACCTCGGCCCTGGCTTCCAGCAGTGGGCCGGTTTGGAATCCCCTTTCCAAGGCCTTCATCCTAGGGTCTGAACCCCAGGGCGCAAGCATCTGCCTTCCTCACAGTTCTGCAGTTCTGTTTCTGGTCCTCGGACATGTTTGCTCCCTACAAGCTCTGCCTCCGGCTTTGCGTTTTCTCTGTCATGCCTGGGTGTCTGAATTGCAGAGGGTGGCTTAGAGAGAACCCTCCTGACCAGGAGGGCCTCACTGATTCTGGAGCTTCATGAAACCTTAGGAGGCACAGGCTCTGCCACATGCTAAGTGTGTGGCCTTGGGCGATTTCTCATCATTTTAAGGCAGTTCCTTCTCTGTAAAATACTGGTAACAATAACCAGCTGCCTAAAAATAAAAAAAGATGCTCATAATCTGAAATTGAAGGACAGCGATTACCTATGGGACGAGTGTGGGAACCGGTGGGTTTGGAACTAGACACAGTCCTACAAAGGCATTTGTAACCACCTATTTCTTAAGTTAGGTGGTGAGAACGTAAGTATTTATTTTATTATTACTCTTAAACTGTACAAAATATATATATATATATATTCTTTTAAGCATGGAATATTTCATAATTTAAAAAGTCCACACTGCTATTTGCAAGGTAAATGGGGAAGCGGGGAGAAGATATGGGCATTGCTTCTCCAGGCAAAGCAGGCTCGAGCCGGAACACAGACGCAACATTTGAATGAGGTTTTATTTCTACAAGAAAAGGGGGCAATAAGTTAAGCTATTTACATGGAGGCCAGGAGGGGAGCACGGTCGCGAGCCTTTCTCCCTTCCCTCTCCGCCCCCTGGCTCAGGCCGGCCACGTCTGAGTCACCTGCCCAGGCTCTGGACAATGGTGACGCAGCCATGGGAGCTGGTGCAGCGCTGCAGGGACGGCTGGGCCTCCACCTGCCCACTGCTGGGGTCGAAGGTGAAGACCCTGTCGGTGCTTTCCCCGTGGTCATCCCTCCCGCCAACGACGTGGACCTTCCCGTCACACACAGTCACGCCACAGCTCTCCTGGGTGGACAAACAGAAAGACGGTCAGCTCCTGGGTCCAGCCTGGGGCTCCCTCTGTCCCTAGCTGGCCAGGCCAGACAACAAAACTTTGACCCATAGAAGATGAGCAGGCAGTCTGGATGGCAGAGAGGCAGAAAATCGGAGGGCCTGAGTTCAGGCTCTGACTTGACCCTTACTAAATGAAGAGCCTTAGTCACTTAACCTCTCTGGGCCTCAGTCTCCTTATCTGCAAAGTGAGAACAGCAGTACCTTCTTCATAAGGTTCCCTTAACAGTGAATGGGGTTAAGCATATAAAGCATTTTACATAGTGCCTGGAATATAGTAAGCACCTCAGTAACGATAACAGTAATTCCCACCCCACCACTGAGGATCTCAGGCTCAGAGAACCAGAAATCTCAGGCTCTTAGGATCACGGAAGGTCAGAACTGGCAGGGACTACCAGGCCGACCACACCCCTTATAGCCTATCTGGAGTTTCCGGGGGGAGACTACGGGTGGGGGAGGCAAGGAATGCAGGGGCCAGAGCATCCAGGGCCTGGGCCTCCCTTTGACATCACTGCAACAGGGCAACCGGGCAGTCCGTTCACCCCCATCTCCCCACAGTCAGCTACCAGCTGGTGGCCTTCACGGCAGTAGAGACTGCAAGACCATTTAGACCAAGCTCCCATTCAGTGCTACAGCACTTGGCACTGGGATTCCAGGCTCTGCTTTAACGTGGCCTAACTGGTGGCCTTGGGCTGGGGCCTCAACCTCTCTAAGGCCAGTCCCCTCATCTGCGAAACACAAGGCTGATGATCATTGAGAACAAAGCTGGGAAACTATGTAAAACGGCCTAGCTGGGAGTCAGACACAAGACTCACTACCTCCAGGATCCAGATCCTAAGAAGCGGGTCTCCACTGTCCTGAATGGAACCAGTGCCAGGGCCCATGCCCAGGAGCACCCACTTACCACGGGGCTGGGGAGGACAGCTGCCTCCCCCCAGACGTCTGTGCTAGGGTCATAGGTGAAGATCCTGCTCATGAGGCCCCCCACCACATAGATGGTGTCCTCGAGGGAGACAGCCTCAAGACACCGCTGCGAGAAGGGCGCTGGGGCCCGCAGGCTCCACCGGTCCTCCTTGGGGTCAAAGCACTGCACCTGAGGGGTGGGAGGAGCAGCAGTGGTGAAGCCCCACCCCCAAATGCCCTGCTGCCCGCGCCCTGCCACCTCTCTCTGTCGAGGGGGACTCATTCCACACAACAACATTTGCCTATGTCCCCCTGCCCTGAGCTAGCGTCTAGGAGGATAGAGAGACCTGTCGTCCCTGCCCTCAAGTGTACTCGGCCTGGTTCCCTGCTCTAGCTCCCACCCCTGGACTCCCTTTGTCAGAAGTCTCATCCTTCAAGGTCCAGGGAGAGGTCTGCGTCCCAGGAGATGGAAGTACCATCTGCATTAGTGCTAGAGGGTCCTCAGCAGGTCCCCCATGGAGATGCATTCCTGGCTGCATCCATTGTTAGCCCCTTCCCTTCTTCCTGGTGCTCTGAGGTCATGGCAAGATTGCAGTTGGGCTGTCCTGCAGCTCCCATTCCTACAGCCCGCCATAGGCCTCCCAGGCCCACGGGTGTTTATGATGCCTTTCACAACTTCTGAGGGCTCATACCCATACCTGCCTGCCCACCATTAGTCCCTGTTTCAGTTCTTTCCTTGGGGACCTCCAGAATGGCCTACAACAAATCAGTGTTGCAGGAGAGGGTGCTAACTGAGGCAGTTCCCTCAGGAAGGTGTGCTGGGGGAATGGGATCAGGGAATAAGGAGGGGTGAGGGATCCCGGTTTGGGAGAGTCAGATCCCAGGGCCACAGGCCTATGAGGCCATCAGGAGAGGGAGGCAGCTGTCACGATGAAGATCCATTTTTATCCGCAAAAAGTCTGAATGTCCAACAACAGAAAATTAGATCAGTAGACTATGGTTCATCCACACAGTGGCCTGTTACACAGACACTGAAATGCTGGTTGTGAAGTGTTGCTAAGCATGTGGAAACTGCTTCTACTTAGAAGAATGGACAGCAGAAGGCAAAATTTTACTGATAATAAGAACACAAAACTGAATCAGAAAAGCAGAAGTCAGTTCAGAGGAAGCCTGGAAGGCACTGCACCAAAATATTAATATTAATAGTAGTTACCCTTAGATGGTGGGATTATGGGTGATTTTTTTTTCTATTTCTGTGTTTTCTAAATTTTCAATAATGAGTGTATTTTTTGAATGAATGAAGAGCATTTTAATTAATTCCACCCTTGCCCTCACTTAATTTTTAAAATCTATGAAACCATATGGCACCAGCCCAAACATTTGGGTCCAGCTGTGCCGCTGACCAGCTGGGTGACCTTGGGGTCACCTCTCTGAACTCACTGCCTTGCCTGAAACACGAGGTGACTCTTCAGGGCTGTTGATGGGATTAAGTGAGAAAATGGAGGAGGACAGGAAGGCGCCAGCTCTGCGCCTGGCACACAGCAGGCCTCCGACGCCCTCTCCGCGCCCACCTTGTCCGTGCTGACGCCGTCCTGCCCCGCGCCCCCGATCACGTAGAGCTGGCCGGCGCAGGGCGCCACCGCGGCCGAGCTCACGGCCTCCGGGAGGGGCGCCGCGGCCGCCCAGGTGTTGGAGAACGGGTCGTAGCGCTCCACGCTGCGCAGGCGCCGCAGGCCGTCGAAGCCGCCCAACGCGAACAGCTGCGGGTGAGGACAAGGGCTGGGGCCGCGCAGTCCAGGGCTGTCTGCGTCTCCGCCCCACCGCCTCTGGCTTGTGTGCGGGAGACTATCCCTCCCCAGCCTAAGGACCAGGCCGACCCGCGCTGCCATGGCCTGGCGGGGGGCGTCCACCCGGTTACTGAGCATCCCTCAGCAGGTTTCCTCTATCACCCGGGGATAATGAGATGGGTCTCAACGATGGGTACTGAATGCGAATTAGATCTGTAAAATACCTGCACCAAGCTGATGCATAATAATAATGGCTAGTAATTTATTAAGGGTTTGCCGCCTCCCTTAAATGATTCTAAGAAGCACTTTTATTTGTATTTCTGAATTCGAGATATAGCTTATAAAGATAACTGGGAGATTTTTTTTGGTCTTAAGCAGTAGACTCAAGATTCAGTCCTAGGCTGTTTGGCCCCAAAGCCCACACCCTTGACCACTAGGCTACACTACTACAGTAATTACTGTTATTATTAGCACTAGCATTATTATGTGACCTTGGGCAAGTCCTTTTACTTTTTGGGGCCTCAGATCTCTTGTTACAAAGAGAGGGTCTCAGAGGGCCTTCCTCCAAGACGTTGGTAAATCTGTACCTTGGGCCCGAGGGCGGTGGCTGCTGCTTGTCCCTACCTGGCCCTGCAGGACTGCCATCTTGTGCCTCCACCTGCCCTTGTGCAGCGAGGCCACCTTGATCCAGGTGTGTAGATGGGAGCTAAACATCCACACATCACGGCTGTTGATGTGGCCTCCTGGGGAGAGAGAAGCAGCTGTTGCCCCCAGGCCCTCTTGCTATCCCCAGCACCCCCAAAGAGCTAGAAACAAGGGCCCCAGGTCCAAAGGCAGGGTTCAGGGCCGACAGCAGGAAGGACTTTCCCCTGGGCTGGTGTGAGACTCTGGGCGTGTGACCCAGACAGTGTGCTTTGAATGAGTGGTGGGAAGGCCTGAGGTGGGACAACAGGCAGGGAGAGCCCTGAGAGATTCGGGCAGAAGGAACTCGTCTTTACTGGGTGCCTTGTGGTGGTGCCCCAGGCTCTGTGCTCAGGGAAGCAAAGAGGGGGGCACTTAGGACTCCATCGAAGGTAGGAGTGCAAAGGGTGCCCAAGACAAGCATCAGGAACATGCTGGGGCCGAGGGAAAGCAGAGCCCTGCACTGGGCGGGGGACAGGGAGAGGTGACCCAATGGGCCTGCTCACTGCTGCCTTCACCACCATGATTTCACGTCTCTTCTCATCCCCCTTGAGGTGCTGGGATTATGGTACCCAGTTTACAGATGGGAAACTCAGACGAGGCTTAGAGACCAGGAATGACGTGCTGAAGGCCACAAGGCCTTTCACAGCCAGAGCGATGACCAGAACCAGAGCTTCCAGTGCCCCAAGCTCAACACTGGGATGTCCTGTGGGGCCAGGCACTGGGGACGCAGGCTGTGACTCTCCCTCCCCATGCCTGGCAGCCCTGGGCTTCCTGACAAGGGACTCACCTCTCAGGAGTAGCCTCCCCAGGGACAACCCCGACTGCAGCCCTCAGCCTGAGCCTGTGACCCAAGTCACATCCCTGTTTTGTAGCCCTCGCCTCAGTGTATTCCCAGCAGAGGCCCCACCTGTTGCTCAGAGGCCATCAGTGGGCTTGGATAAGTTGTCCAGTAATAAAATGTGGCCTGGATAGTCTCTAAGGCCTTCCTGGCTCATTCTTTGGCCCCTTATCCTTCCCAGGCACCCACAGCTCCCTACGGCTTCAAGTGCAGTCTACACTGGCCTGGAGAAAAGCCTCCCGGGTCTGGTTCCAGACTCCCTTTCGTGCCTCATCTCCAGTAGCTTCCCCTACTCTCCCAGATACACTCAACCTGCACTTCAAAGCCCGAGTACCCCGGGTTTCTCTGCACATTCCTGCCTCCATGCTTTGGTCTATGCTGCTGCCTCCGGCTTTCAAGGTCCAGCTGAACACTCATCCCTTGCATGAACTTGGGCCAGATTCCCTGAGTGGGATTCCGGACCATCGGGAGACTCTGAGAGTTCCCATCAAATTCTGCCTAGCGGTGAAGTGAAGTCTGTCTCCCGCTCTCCAGGGCCCTCCAGGGGAGCAGGGACTGTGTTTACTCTCTCAGGCTCTAGGGCCTGAATCTCAAGGAGAGCACAGTCCCTTAGTATCAAACAGATCTGTGTTCCTCCTAGCTTTTGCGATTTTTATCACAATGGGGAAATTCTTAACCTCTCTGAGCCTGTTTTCTCTTTTGTAAAATGGGGTTTGGGGGGAATTAAATGATAACTAATGTAAGCTGCTTAGCATAATGCCAAGCACATAGTAGGCTCGATAAAGAGAAGTGATCAATACTAACACGAATTGAAGCGGATATTGCTGAATAAGGGCTGAGTCGCACCAGTGATTGGCTCTGCAGGCTCCCCATTTCAGCCAATAACTGTAGGGTATCATGAAAAACCACGCCCCCCCAGCGCAACCCCCCCCCCCGGGAAAAAAGAGGGGGCGGTCCCCTGGATTCGATGAGCCAATCCCGTGGGGCTCCCATTGCGGCCCCGCCCTCACCGGAGACATAGACGTCATTGCGGAGAGCACAGGCGGCGAACTCCGAGCGCGTGTAGCCGGGCAGGCTGGGCAGTGGGGTCCAGCGCCTGCTTTCTGGGTGGTAGGCGTCGGCGAAGGGCAGCTTCAGGAGCCCCTTGCGGTCGCAACCGCCGATGACCACGATCACCTCAGCAAGGTCCATGAATCTGGCGTGGGGATAAGCCCAATGCCCGTTGACCCGCACCTAGGTAGTAGCCCTCTCTCACCCTCTCGCTGATCAGTCTGTGCGGTCCTGCTGCCCTTCCATGCCCTTTGGCGCCTGCCTCCCCCACCCATGCTGGACTCTTGCCACTTCCAGCCTCCCCTCTGGCTATTGATGGGAAGAGTCACTAATCCTTCCCCCATTCTGCTGACCTCCAAGTTACAGGAAAAGAATCTTTACAGAGTCCTTACCCTTCCCTAGAAAAATCACCTGGTTTATCTTAATGACAGTTCTCTTAGGCGGTGACTATTACTCTTACAGAGGAGGAAAGAGGCTCACAGACTTTGGCTTGCCCAGAGTAATGTAGCCACTAAGTGACGGAGCTGGAATTCAACCCTAGCTTTGACACTAGCCTATTCTCTTCACTCTTTTCTGACTTCCATCTCCGACTACACTAATTCCAAAGCCTTTCTCCCCCTATAACCATCTCCTAAACCCATACTCTAATCACTAATTCCATCGAACCAGGCTACACACCCTTTCAGCAAAGCATTCTCCCCTCCCACGGACCTTTCAGTCTTTTGACCCCACTAGATTTTCCAAATCCTTTAGCCCGTGGTTTCCTACCTAATTCCTTTGATAAATATTGAGCACCTTCTTTGTACGAGCCCCTGAGCTTAGTGTTGGAGATACAGTGGTGAGTGAGACAGAGGCATCCCTGTCTTCTATGCCTGGGAGGGTGACAGACCATCTTAGACTACTCCACCCAAAGTCTGCCGGCATGACGTTCTAGGGGGAGTAATCCTCTGTCATTTTTCTTTTTTCCAGGCCCTGCTTATTTACATCCCTTACTAGTCTGAGCTCCCAGAGCATAAAGGGTGTTTCCAAATCACTCCCGAGTCCCAGGCACCCAGCAAAAGACCTGCACAGAGGGAGCATTCAGAATAATGGATAGATGGGCAAGAGAAAGAATGTGCGCAAGGGATGAGATCTCTGCATCTCCCTCACTGGGCTGTTAACTCTTCAAGGGCAGAATTCCCAGCACCATATCTATGAAATGTTTGCCGAATGAATAAATGAATCTCATTTAACAGACACCATCAGTGACCGAATCAAAGGATGACGGTGGAATGAGTGAGCGGTTGAAGAACGCCGCAACAACGGAGGGCAGGAGGCAAGGGGGCGGGGGCCGTACCTCCGCGGCCGGGCCCGCAGCGCGCCGGCCTCGCGGCCCAGGATGAAGCAGGCGCGGGCCTCGAGCAGCAGCGGGCGGCACTCGCCGCAGGCCTGCAGCAGCTCGTCCGCCTCCACCTTCTCCAGGAAGTAGGCGGGCGCCAGCAGCGGCAGGCGCACGTGCTCCAGCAGGCGCCGCAGCTGACCGCGGCGGCCCGGCGCGTCGTGGCGCACCCAGCGCATGGCCGCCTCGAACACGGCCTCCTCGCGCGCCACGCCCAGCGCCGGGTCGGCCAGCAGCGCCGCCACCTCGTCGGGCCCCAGCTCCAGGAAGTCCGCGTGGCGCGCCACCTCGGCGAAGGCCTGGCGCAGCACGCGGCCGCAGCGCTCGGCCAGCGACGTGAGCGAGAAGGCGGCGGCCACGCGGCGCAGCGCCAGGCTGTTGGTGGCGCGCAGGCGGCCCTCGAGGAAGCGCGCGCAGGCCTCGCGCAGGCCCGCCACGCCCAGCCGCTCGGCCAGCGCCAGCACGGCGGCCGCCTCGTCCTCGGCGCGCAGCCGCACGCCCGCGCCGTACACGTAGTCGAGCACCACGGCCAGCGCCGCCGCCGCCGCGGCCGGGCCCGCGCCGGGCGCATCGGGCGCCACCGGCACGACGGGCACCGCGGGCCCCAGGGCCGGGCCGCGCTCTGGCCGGCCGGCCGCGAACAGGCTGCGGAAGTAGGCGCTGCCCGCGCTGAGCGCGGCGCGGTGGCACGGGAAGTCGCGGCCGCCGGCGCGCAGCACCACGTCGGTGAGGGTGCCGCTCCGCCGGTAAGCGTTGAGGGTCTGCAGGACGCGCTGCGCGTGGCAGGAGCCCGCGCACGGCGCCTCGGAGCCCGGCTCCGACTCCTCCGGCCCGGGGCCCTCCCGCATCCTGCTGGGGAGAGAACAGAAACAGCGTCGGAGCTCCCGGCGGCTGGGGCCGGAGAGGAGGGCAGGCGCCCGCGTGCACGCCTTCCCCGCTGGTTCCCCGGTTGCCTCGTGCAGGCATGCATGAACGCAGCGAGGGTGCTTTCATTCATCAGCTGCTCTTCCTCCCCTGCACCCACCCGGGCTCCTGACGCTGCAGGCATCTAGTCCCTGCCTACCTGAAGGGCGAGGCCCTGCCTGAGCTGTGCCGCCACCTCCCTCGCTTCCCCGCTCAGCCATATTGCCTTTGCTGTTCTTCGGACTCGCTCAGCTTTTTCCTATCAGTGTCAGCAGGAGACAGATGGCACGCTCTCAAATGGGGTAATTTGAGGAGAGTCTAATAAAGGAACGATTTACAAAAGCGTAGACAGTGTTTGGGGACTCCCCCAAGGGATAGAGCAGTGCCACGTGCCTAACCCACAGCAGGGAGATTTTACCTCTCCGAGGCCTGAAAGGCGGAGGCTGGGGGGTTACTGGGACCTGCTCAAAATAGCTGTAGAGGGAGGCCCCTGACGGGAGCTGTAGCCTTTGGTCAAGATATTCAGGCTACCCCCCGGAGATCCGGTGCGTGGGGGCGTGTGGCTCTGCCTCACTCGCCTCACCCGGGCGCCTCCTGCGGGTCTCCTGGAGGGGCTGCCCGATTGACCTAACCCTGATCATTCTGTGTAATAGCCGCCTCTCCCCCAGCAGCGCAGGATCTGGCTCATCACAGGTGCTCAAGACCTGTTCAAGGTCGGGCGAATATATTAAACAGTATTTATTGAGAGCTTTTTCTGTGCCAGGCAGTGAGCAAGACAGTCGGGGTCGCTCCCCTCATGCAGCTTACAGCCTGGCGGGGGTCCCGTGGGGAAGTACAGAGTATTGGTGGTGGTGCTGTGGCCTGGAATACGACTCCTAGCGACCCTGTGGGCAGCAGAGTGGAACCCTGCCCGGTTTTTTGGCGCCGTCCTCTCATCTTTCAGTGCCGTCTCAGACAGTGCTCCACTGCTATTCATAGAATTTTCATGGCCAGTTTTTTCGGAGTGGGTGGCCAGGTCTTTTTTCCTGGTCTGTCTAGTCTGGAAGCTCTGCTGAAACCTGTCCACCATGGGTGACCCTGCTGGTATTTGAAATACTGGTGGCGTAGCTTTCAGCATCACAGCAACACACAGCCACCACAGTGTGACAACGCACAGACAGGTGGTGTGGTTCCCTGACTGGGAAACAAAGCTGGATCATGGTGGTGAGAGTGCCGAATCTTAACCACTGGACCCCCAGACAGAGTATTAGGAGAGCTCATAGGAGAGGCATTAAATCCAGTGGGAGGGGAGCCAGGGAAGGTGTCCCTGTCGAGAGGGCCTTCAGACTGAGAAGGACTAGCCAGGTGAAGGGAAGGGAGTGGAGAGAGGAAGTCTGCAGCTAAGAGAACAGCCTGTGCAAAGGCCCAGAGGCAAGGAGGGCATGAGGTTATATCCCAGGCTGAGAGGGCAGTTGGCCCTCTAGTGAGTTCTGTGTTCTCAAGGAAGCACTGTGGGGAAGGGGAGAGAGCTGGCTCTAAGGACAGATCCGGGTTCCAATCCACCTCTACCACTGACTTGCCATGTGAGCCACACAAGGCACTCCCCTTCAGTTCCTGACCTGAAATGGGCTCCTAACGCCTACCTCACGGGGCTGCCATGACTGTTCAGTGGAATGTAGGAAAAGTGCTGGGCACATACTACAAACTCAACAAATGTGTCTGACGTTGCTTTCACTGACAGGAAGGGAGCCTGCCACGTGTGCCAGGTGCTGTTTCGTGCACGGTTTCATTGGATCCCTACAACCCTGAGAAGTGTCTTTAGAGCCCATCGCCCTTCTGTTTTAAGTTTGTCGTGAGGAAACAAGCACGCAGAGAATCTGCCCTTCGGAGGTGCTGTGAGGATCGAAGGAGGGGTGTGTGTGAAAGCACGCGACAGAACCAAGGGCTCTACCCTGCTGGTTGTGATCTGACCACTGTGAACAGACAGCCTCTGCTCGCACACCTCCAGGGACAGGGGGCTCACTCCTTTATGTGGCACCTTACTCCCAGGGTGTGGGGCACACAGCTCTGGCCCCTGCCCCTTGCCTCTCCCTCCATGCGCCTGATGCGAGCTGCTCTGCCTCCGCTGAGACCGCTCTGCCCAGGAGGTCAGATCTTGCCCAGTGTCAGCCTGGCTTTCACTGATCATGCCTGGGTAGTCCTGGGTTGTGGATCTCATGCCTCAGAATCACAGGACGTGAGCTCCCTGGTGGGCAAGGTCCCGGGAAGTTAACTTTTGCCCAAGTAGAAGGGCTGGGCCCTGAACCCACCTGGCTCCAGACCCTGCATGCCTGGCAGCTCAGTCACACTTGCTAGTGTGGGGGCATGTCCCAAGGAGCAGCCCAGGACCAGGGAAGGGAGGTGAGAGAGGTCACCAAGCACGAGGGCCCCCTTCTCTTCTCCCCTGGCCAAGGAAGCAGCTGCACTCTGAACTGAGATCCCAGAGGCAGGACTCAGCACCAGGAGGGGCTTCTCCCTGCAGAGATGACCCCCGAGGGGCTGTCCAGGGAGAGGGAGTCCCCGCCTGGGAAATGCACAAGCACTTTTTCATTCATTCCACTGCCGTCTACTGCTCTGGGCACTGTGGACACACAGGGAGATCGGACCCTGTTTCCACCCTGGGATTCCCAGTCCGGGGGCTGGAGGATGCCCAGTTGGAACAGGGAAGGTGGCGATTCCTAGGCAGGGCTCCGTTCAGCATTCTCCCATCCCAGCTAAGAGTCTGGGCGCCCCAAGCCTTGGGTCCTGACACACACTGAGGGACCCAGCCCCTAGAAGTTCACGTGCCACCCTGTCTCTTTTTCACACCTACACCCACTCACACCAACACATGCTCAGACATGTAGACACCACACAGCCGGGGCTGCCCTGTGGCCTAAGTCCCGCCCCGGATGTTCCTGGCACTTACCTGGTGGCGCCCTCTCCCTGGTGCCCCGCAGCTGCTGCTCTCACCGGGACCACTCCTGTGTCTCCTGCAGCCTGTACCCCTGGCAGCCACAGCTCCAGTGTCCCTGCCGCTCTGCCTGGACTCGCGCTCAGGCTCAGCTGCAGGAGGACAAAGGGGCTGGACGCCAGGGGGGAGGGGAGGGAGAGCAGCGGGGAAGGGGAGGAGGGGACGCTGGGCTTTTGTTCCACTCTTGGACCAGCCCTGGGAGGGAGGGAAAGAGGGAGGACGCAGGAGTAAGCATGGAATCAACTGTGTGCAGCTCCGGGATCCGTGGGCCTGGATTGAGGGTGACCTGGGCTGGCCGTGTGCTTGAATGATGCACAGGTGTGAGGGTGGCGTGTGTGTGGGAGCCCAGGGAGATGGGGTGTAATCTGGTAGTTGTGAGTGTGCAGGCGTTCCAGGTACCTGTGTGGCATGTGGGAGTGTGTGGGACGCGGTGACTGCGGAGCATTGGGGTGGGTGTGTGAGAATGTCACCACACTGCTTAGGGGTCTCGGTTTCCCTCCTGCCTCTGTGCTATCCGTGCCGTGTCTGTGTTCCTGCTCAACAGCAGACATGTCACTGTGGGCCTTGATGTCCCATCTCTCTGTGTCTACGTGATTGTTCATGTCTGTGTGTGACGGGGTCTGCGTCCCCGTGGACTATGTGATCTGTATGGACAGTGTGTGGTCCTCTGTCTGTGGTATGGCATGAGTCAAGGTGGTTTTCACTCAACAACGCACCTGCCTTGGAGGGGGCCGGGTGGGGCAGGGCGTGGTGGAACTGGGAAGGCCTCTTGGGGTGGAGGAGAGAGCCAGGCAGCTCTGGGCCAGCTTGGCCTCCTGGAGCCAGGGGGAAGCGACTCCATAGGCTGGTGCTGGATCCTTTGCTGTCTCTACAAAGGACCGCAGGGCCTGGTGTCCATGGGGTGGGTGAGGGGTTGGCTTCTTGGAAGAGGACAGTGATTTGGGAGGAGGTTGCCTTGAGAATCTGGATGGGCCCGGGCACCTGGGGCCTGGTCCTGGTGCTCAGGTGCCATGCAGCCCTTGGCAGACCACTGCCCGCCCCTTGGCCCTCGCCCATCTTGTCAGGAGGGATAATCGTGATTCCGGCTCTGCCATTGTATTGGGTTGCTGTGACACTTAGAGAGGGTTTGTGAGTGAAAGCCGCGTGCCATGTGGAGTCAGTGAGGCCCGGGTGCTGCAGGGGCCCCCTGGCCAGGCTCAGGCAGGAGAGTTCGTGGACGGAGCCTGATGGGAGGGGTCACTGTGATGCTGGCCAAGTGTGTCCTGAGGCCTGGCAGGACAGTCTGCCCCACGGCCCCTGCTCCAGGGAGCGGCATGCCCCGCTTCTCCCTGAGAAAGAATGGTATGTGTTGCTGTTTGTTAAAGGATGTGAGAGAGTCGGGCACCTTTGTATCTGCACTCAGGAAGGAGGGGCTGTGGGTTCAGAGAGCCCTGGAGGAGGTGGAGGGCCGGCTCAGCCTGGGGGAGGAAGGAAGGAGTGGGTCTGCGGGTGGCAGAGGGGAGGGGACCCGTTTCCCTGTGAATGGGCAGTCAGGCTGGGGAGGACACGGCGGGGCGGGGTGGGCATCAGCAAGGTGGGGTTCTCAGTATCCCTGCAGGTCAAGGGACAGGAGCCAGGGTTGATCACAGGCTGTGGGCTCAGCTGAGGTTGCAGAAGACCCGGCCATCTGCCCAGCTGGGGGCTGGCCTCCCTCCTCTCCCCATTGTTCGGGGTGAGGGGAGGCAGCTGCACTGGGGAGTTGGGGGGGGGGGCACCGTGTAGGGCCCTGGGGAGAGTGGGATGCTGACTAGCTGTTTCACTCAGAACTCCCAGCCCCCCCCCCCCCCCCCTTGAAGATTCCAGGATGTCTCAAGTTGCCCAAGTGTGGCCAGGAGCCTGGGACATCCTGGCCAGGGGCACTGACTGGGCAGGGAGGGGCCGGCATGAAAGCTCAAATCCTCTTTCCTAGGTGGGCCTGCCAGAGGGTGAAGAGGAAGTTGTTGGGGCATTTCGGGTAGGGCAGTGTAGCCCACTCCTGATGCAGCCATTCTGGATTTCACTCATACTCCCTGTGCCCAGGATGGGGCAGGAGCTGACCTCTGCCCCAGGAAGGGAAGCACTTGCCAGATGTTCAGTAGGGGAAAGGAGGGGCAGTCCTAGAGGTTAATGGGGCGGGGGGCAGGGTGGGTTCCAACATTTGGAAGGGATTTCTTTTCCTTTCCTCCAAGGTGTCAGAATCACTCAGACCCCAAGAATTCTTTCCAGAAAACCCCTGTTTGGAGAAGAGACACATCCCTTTGCTCTCAGGAGGCACCTTATGCAGGCTGGAGCTGGGGTCCAGCCTCTCTCCCCCTTAGGACACACAGAAGACCACACAGACTCTCAGGACAAAGATGGGAGTTACAGACCCGCCCTGACTCCACCGCGGACCCCTTCCCACAGGGGACGGAGGGCAGAGGTCCAAGGACTGAAAGACAGGAAGGGACATCTGTGGTCTCAGGGCCGTGTTTTAGCTTTCAGCCCAGGTGCCCCACTGTGCCAGGAATGGGGGTGGGCCCTCTTCGGTCAGGTCCAAAGCCCTGAGAAGTCAAAGCCAAACCTCCACCATGGGGGAGAGGCATCTGCTGGTAGAGGGCCTGTCCCTCCATAGGCCAGGGGCTCAGAAGGCCTCCATGTGGCCAGGAGGCAACCTGCTAGTCCCACTGCCCAGCCCTGCATCGGACCCAGGAAACTTCCCCACCTGCTGCACCGTTCCCGCTGGTTGCAGAAGGCACGTGTACACTCTGGGGCCAGGGCCTGGGTGGGATTCTGGCTCTGCCTGTTTTTGTTGTTTTTGTTTTGCTGAGGAAGATTTGCCCTGAGCTAACATCTGTTGCCAATCTTCCTCTTTTTGTATCTGGGCCGCCACCACAGCATGGCCACTGACAGACGAGCGTGATAGGTCCATGCCTGGGAACCAAACCCAGGCCACTGAAACGAAGTGTGCTGAACTTAACCACCAGGCCACTGGGGCTGGTCCTGTGCCCGTTCTAAGTTGTGTGGCCCACAATGGTCTCTTTACCTCTCTAAGGCCATCTCCCCCGCCACAATATGGGGATACTGGTCCCCAACCCCAGGGCTGGTGAGGAACCCCTGGTGCCAGTGATGCAGGGTAGGGCTCAACCACCCCACCACTCTCCCATTCATTTCTGAGAATGGTTCCTCCTCAAGTCATGGGGCCCAAACTGAATCCCAAACCCAGCAAGCTCTGTCCCCACCCTCCCATGGATAAATCAGAGAGGACACATGTCAAGACGGCAGCTTTAATCATCTTGGCCAGAGCCCTCTGGCTCCCTCCACTGCAGGCCTCCTTGGCCACATGCCCACCCTTGACCATGCCCAGAACACTCTTCCCAGATGGCCCCTGCCCTGTGGCCACTGATGTGAGGTCGTGTCAGTCTGTGGATCTCCTGGGCCTCCGGGCCACTCTGCCCCAGAGGCCTAATGGGCTCTTGGGCACAGGACAGCAGCTCTGAGCCTGCCCTTTGGCGTCTCCAGCTGCTCCCGGGGGCATGGCTCAGGCCCTCTCCCGGGCAGGGCCAGCCCAGAGGGAGGCTCGGAGGAGGAGTGTCTGCACCGCTGTGGCAGGCTCTCCCCATGGGCTGACCCTCCTTGTGCTTTGAGACGGATGGGCGCACATGAGGAGGAGAGCTGCTGGCGGCAGAGGCCCAGCCTAGGCCCTCGAGGCAGGAGAAACATGGAGAAGTGGGTTGCCTCACAGCATGGACAGGAGGATGGACACACATGGGCATCTACATCTTCCATCCACAGTGGGGCATGGCACAGCCCAGTGACCCATCAAAGCTTCCAGGTCACGATGCAAGGGGGGGCCTCAGGGAGGACCAGGCCCCAGGCCCCAAACTTCCCAGAAGGAGCCCCAGGCCTGCAGGGGCATCTGAGAGGCTGGAGTCCTGGCCCAGCTGGGCCTCAGGGGAGAGAGGTGCCCCCTCCAAGAAAGGCCATGGCTGACAAAGGGCTGGAGCCAACGAGGAGGCCGTGGAGCCAGCTCCCAGAGCACTCCAGGTCCAGATCCGCTCCTGCCAGCTCTCCTGGGTTCCCCCGTCTCACGTTTGGTACAGGCGGGGACAGACAGGTCTTCAGCTAACGCCCACCCCTATCTGTGAAGGTCTTGGCGCGGCTGCCACTCCCTCGGGGGTCCACAGGGGTGGTGGTGCTGTTGGCGTATGTGTCATAACTGTTGTCTGAACATACAGAGAGCTCATCGGAGACCTCCATGCCATCGCTGATCTCTGTTGGGCCAGAGGGAGGCAGCATGTGAGTGGGGGGAGGGGAAGGATCGACAAGGATGGCTGGCAGATGCGGTGGGAAGGACGGCCTGTACCAACTCCTGGTCAGGCACCAGGAGGCTGGTGAAACCACTGGGTTCAGGTTTGGTATTGAGCTTGGCATTCAAGGCCCCCCTTAAACTCTGCAAACACCCTCAGGCTACTCTCCCTGGAACTCTGCCTTTCAGCCACAGAAAACCATCTGTACCCTCCTGAGCTTGGCACCCATGTGCTTACTCTCCTTTGCACACACTGGCCCCTCTCCTGGGAGTGACCTCTCCATCAACTCCTCCTTTTCTCAAAATCTGGCCCAATTCTTCTCATCTCTGTCATTGCAACCCCCTGAGATTCTCCCCTGAGCCCCCCAGGTTGGGCTGGGGTCTCCTCATGGCCACTCTAGCCCCTGCTTCCGCTGTACTGTCATGTCTGTGGCCCCCACTGACTGGAGTGCTTCAAGGACAAGTGAAGTCTGGGCATCTGTGTCCCCAGTGCCTAGCACAGCACTGGACACACAGCAGGGGCTCAGGAAGGGTCTGCTGAGTGGAGATGAGCCCACCCCGAGGGGACTCAGGGTACCTTGGTGGGGCTGAGGGTCTCTGGCGAGGACCTCTCAACCTGGAGTGGGCAGGGGGTGAGGGCTCTGGCCCCCTCCTTGCTCAGGAGGTGCTCTGTGAAAGGCCTTTGACACCACAGGAGGGAGAGGGTCTGGAGAGGCAGAACCTGCCAGGCCTAGGGGCTGGCCTCCTGCCTTCCATGCATTCTGCCTGCCCCTTCTGACTTCTCTTGCAGGCACAGTGCAGGAGCCTGGGGACGCCAGGTGCCCTGGACTGGCCCTTCCTTCCAAGAGCTTCCCAGTGTGGCCAGAGGGCTGTGGGACCCCAGGGGAGGCGATCTAACTCAGCCTCAGTGCTCAGCGAAGGCTCCTAGGAGAAGGAGGCTTTTTGAGAGAAGTTAGGAGGACTGTACTGACAGTCCCTGTAAGTACATAGGCATAGACTCTCCTAAAACAGGGCCTGGCATTCATCTGTTGAAGGAATGAATAAAAAAGAAGGGAATAAATGAGTGGGTGTGCACACGAGCCTTGGAGCCAGCCCTAAACCCACGGTCACCCCCACGGGGCTCCTGTTCATTCAAGCAGTGTTGACCGTGCACCCCTCGGGCCAGGTGTGGGAGCAGGCGCTAGCCCACTTAACAGACGAGGCGGCTGACGCTGAGGGAGGCAGACCTATGTGCCCGGTTCACACAGCTAGCTGGGGTAGAGCTGGGATTTGAATCCAGGTCCATCTGGCTCCTAACTCACTCTCTCATGCCCTCCCTCTGTTCCCATGCCCACATCTCTTGCCTGAATTCTTGGTCTCCTTGCCTCCAGCTTCCCCCTCTAATCCACCCTCCACACTCGTTATGGGTTGAATTGTGTCCCCCAAAATTCATATGTTGAAGGCCTAACCCCCAGCACCTCAGCATGTGACCTTATTTGAAAATAAGGTCGTTGCAGATGTAATTGGTTAAGATGAGGTCGTTAAGGTGGGCCTGAATCCAACACGGCTGGTGTCCTAACAAGAGGGGAAATTTAGACACAGAGATTGTACTGGGAGAACGCCGTGTGAATACGAAGGTGACCGTCTACAAGGCCAGGAGGGAGGCCTCGACTGGATCCTCCCGCACGGCCCTCAGAGCGCACCGAGCCTGCCCACGCTTCCATCCTGGCCTTCCAGCCTCCAGCACTGTGAGACGACACATTTCCGTCGTGTAAGCCACCCGCCTTGTGGTGCTTTGTCACAGCCCCATCGTAACAAATGCAAATCCACCCACGACCCTCCCCTGCTTTCAGAATGAAGCCCGAGCTCCCGCTGGCACACTCGAGGACCGCATGCCTTCCCAGGCCCATCGCGGGCTGAGCCAGCCAGAGGCCCCTCCCTCGAGCCACACGGAGTCAGACTTAGTTCTTGGTGCCCCGGCACGCAGAGCTCCCTCACTGCCTCTGAACGCAAGCTGTTCCTGCGCCTGGAATGGCCTTCCTTCCCACTGCTCACCTGGCCCTCTCCTCACACCCATCACCCAGGCCCTCCTACCCACCCCTCCCATTTCAGCTGGGTCACCTTCTTGCAGAGTGGGCCCCCAAACCTTCCTCCCTGCCCCAGGGAGCTCTGACCGCTCTCTCCTCCTGGGCACCCCACTGTGCCTCAGTACCCCATCTGTTAGAGAGCTAATGAAACCCAATTTTCCACGTGTGTGTTTATACAGCTGCCTCTCCACCAGACTGGGAATGTCAGCAGGGGTTGGCAGCAAGCAGGGGTGAAATCAGTATTTGTGGGGTCCGTGTATGATCCAGGCGAAGGGGGATGGGCCTTCAAAGCAGACTCCTCCCACCTCCACCCCTGCATGTCACCCTTGCCCACCACCCATGTGGGTGAAACTGAGCCACAGGACCTGGCGTTGGTCATTGCATGTGGATGGGTGTGTGTTTCTCTATGTGTACATGGGCCTCCACTTGCATGTGGGCGTGAAGCTGCGTGGGTGTACGTGTGTCCAGGCCGTGTCCCTACCCCTATGTGCTGCATGTGAGTGTGTGTGCACGCACACCTGAGTGCACATGTGGGATGCCGAGGACGGAGCCAGTGCCCGTCTGAGCCTGTCTGCGGGGCCACACACCTGAGAAGATGAGCTTCTCCTTCATGATGCTGACGTCCCGGCTGGTCCGGCGCACCGCGGCACTCAGCATGATCTGCTCGGGGTTGTAGCTCCGTATGCCACCCAGGCGCCACCTGCAGAGATGGCCCCGTGGGCATCAGGTCCTTCCCCCGCCCGCCTTGGAGCAGGGATCCTGCCCACTTCCAGAGCCTCTCTGCATTTGGCCTCAGAGACCAGCAGGACTCTTGTCTGACTGTACAGATGGGGAAACTGAGGCCCAGAGATGGGCAGAGCTGGGGCTTGAATCAGGGTCTGCTGACTCTCAGCCAGGGCACTCCTGCCTCCCTCTTACCTCGAGAACCCAGGTCAGCTCCCCTTGAACAGGAAGACGGGTGGAGGTTGGTTAGTTCTGTCTCAGGTGCCCCCAGTCATACACCTGGCTCTCTTTGGATGGGACAAATGGGGGGGAGGGGGACCTTAACTGATGACCCACCCTGGGGTACACACCAATCTTGGGGAGTCCCAGCTGATGTCTCCTACAGCTCCACTATAAGGACCAGACTGAGTGGAGCCAGTGGAGAAACCCCAGAGGGGAGGTGAAGGAAAGCAGGGGAGTGAGGGAGACGGTGGGGAAGGGGGCTTGTCTTCACAGGCAAGGGTGTTAGAGTGACTCGGGGCGGGGCCGCTGCTGTTCTGTTCCAACAATCCTGAAGAGTGGGCTGTCCATTCTCTGAGGGGAAAGGACAGGCTGGAGTGTTAATCCCTCTGATGGCTGAGGCAGGAGCGGGTGGACTGGGAGGCGGCTGCACAGGACGTGCAGGGGCCAGGCAGAGCCAGGAGGACTTGGGTCCCTGCGCCCCACCCAGGGCACGCTTTTGCTGTTGTGGTTCCTCCAAACTAGCCCCAAACCCCTGGCCTCAGAACTTAGACTCTTCCTGAGACCCAGACGGAAGGATTCCCTGACCCCCCCACCCCCACTCCCACCAAGAGGAGCTGGGGTCAGCTTGGAAACAAGGACCCAACTGCCCAGGGCACTGAGCCCTGCTGGTCTGGGGGGGAGGGAGCCCAGACTCCACAAGAAATCATTTATTTCCAGATGGGGTCAGCGCGGCAGAAATGGACAGACAGATGGACAGGCAGACGGGTAAGTGAAGGAGTAGACAGACAAGGGGAAAGCGCAAGGCAGAGGGGGAGGCAGCCTGTGCTCTGGCTGGGCTGGCCACCCCACACGTCCTTGAGGGCAGCAACTGGGTCTCTTATTTATTGCTGTGTCCCCAGCACCAACCGTAATGCCTGCTGTGTGGCAAGTGCCCATAAGTATTTGTTGAGTGAATGAATGGCAGAATGAGGCCCACAGGGAAATAATCTTTTCCCCCAGGGTCCCCTCCTCCATAAGGCCTCTCCGGACCCCCAGGAAGACCATGATACCACTCTGACTGTATGTCGAGCAGGCCCAGTGTGTCCATCCCAGCCCCTGGACCATCACGGCCCAGCCTCCCCAGCGCACTGGGGGCTCCGAGCCCAAAGGCCTGGCTCCTTGCTGCAGGCCCAACCCTGGCACCAGCCAGCACGTGTGGATGTCTGCTGACCGAGAGAATCGAGGAAGGATTAGGTAAATGTGCCTTTGCTGGGCTCGGTCCCACAGCCAGCGAGCACAGTTTCTCCTCCTAGAAGCTGGTCAGTGAAGCTGCCTGACCCAGGAGGGCCCAAGGCGCTGCCCTGAGGAGGACCTGGATCCCCAAGACCTATGTGTCATCTTGGAAATGAACATGAAACCCAGAAGGAAAGTGTCAGGCCAAGATCTCTGCAGCCAGCACACCTAGGACAGGAGGCTCAACCACCGTGGGGTCCTCCCCAGGGGAAAGCGGGGAGGGTGAGGACAGAGGAAAGCTGTGTGGATGGGGGAAGAGGGGTGGGGCGGGAGTGAGAGACAGGAAGTAAAAAAGAGATGGAAAGATAAGAGGGAGACACAGTGACAGGTAAAGAGACAGAGTGAGCGATGGGAGAGGCAGACAGGGAGGGGTTCAGGAAGAGCCCCCTGGCCAGAGGGAGATGCCAGGTGAGCAACCTGCAAGGAAGAGCTGGTTCCCCATCTGCAGAAACAGCAGCAGGAACAGAGAGCAGGGGGACACACACGGCAAGATGGGAAGAGAGAAGGGAGGACTAGGGGAGAGGAGGAGAGCAGGGGAGGGGCAGGCTTCAGGCGAGGAGGGGTGTCCAGGAGGGTGACCGGTGGGACCCTGACCCGGGCACTGGGCTTGGTGCGCGGCAGGTCTTCAGAGGGAACTGGAAAAGGGGGTGGCAAGGAGGGGGCAGAAAGAGGAACAGGAGGAGGAAGACCACACCAGAATTACCTGATCAAGTGATAGCTGTGAGATGCCAGAGTGCAGCAGAGAGAGGGGAGGGAGAGAGAGGAGGGACATGCGCCAGATCAGAGCAGTGTGGGGCAGAGAGAATGTTGGTCAAGAATAAACTGGGGCCCAGCCTGGCCCGAAGCCCTCCCCTGGACCAACCGCACCTCCCCACTGCAACCACCGTCCCAGCTGTGCTCCAGAGGTGGGGCAGGTCTCCAGCACGGCACAACCCAGCGCCAGCGGGAACCCATGGGTGAGGAGACAAGCTGGAGAGGCACCGAAATTCGCCACAGTCCACAAAGCAAATCTCAGCAGAGCTTGGCTCTGGATCCAGGCTAGGTGCCCATGGTAGAAGCCACCCAGCTCTGGCTGAGGGGCATGGGCGGGGGGCCACTGTGAGTCTTCCCTCTCCCCTGAACAGGGCCGCTTGGCCAGGCCTTCTCCTGGCTGCCGTCTAAGAAGGAGTTTCCCCCGGCTGGGGCAGGGGCTGGGCCTGTGGCAGGGCAGGGAAGACCCCGGAAGGTGGTCACAGCCTACTCACTTCTGGAGCACGAAGATGCCCACGATGAGGGTGAAGGAGACCAGGTCGGCGGTGACCCACATGAGACAGTACTCGTCCGGGGGCTGTGGACAGACGGCCGGCGGCCAGCTTCCAGTCACGGCTGGTCTGCACGGGGGCTCCAGACTGAGGGTCCATGGGCAGGGGGACCCCACGTCACCATCAGGGAGGGGCAAGGGAGGATCTGGAGGGGCTTGGGCTTGAGATGATAATTTGCAGGAGTGGGATCTGGCACTGTGGGCCTGGGACCTGGAGTGTGTGTGTGTGTGTGTGTGTGTACACAGGATAAAGAGATCTGCACGGTGTTCAGGGTAGAAGTGGTGTGTGTTAAGCCTGGAGGGTTTGTGTGCTTCAGGAGGCTCAAAGCAGGGGCCGAATAATCAAAGACAAATAGATGACTTCGAGGTTGTGGCATGACTGGCAGGTGTGCAGGTGTGTGTCTGAAGAGGCATGTGGCACCCCTGTCGGTGTAAGAGTCCATGTGTCACTGCAGGGAGTAGAGCATGGGGGCTTCCCCTCCAGGTACCACAGGAGGACCAGGGAGGGCAAGGCCTCCAGTGCAGCCAGGCCCCGACCCTCCTGGATCTCAGGTTAACCGTGGGGTGGGGGTGGGGGGGCCGACTTCTTACTGCTGGTCAACTCTTGTCTTGGGGCCTGAAAATTCGAGTGTGCTCGTAGCTATGGCTGCCACAGTCGGTCAGTTATTTCATCTCCTTCTGAGCTGAGCCTTCGGAGGTTTTTAAGGACAATGGGCAGGTGGATGGCATAAACATCCATAGCCTACATCCGATTCACTGACCCTGGCACTGTCCTAGCCATAATGAGAGCCTCCATCTGCCATGTCACAACAGGGAGGTGACAGTGGCAGCACAGGAGGGAGGTTAAGGGCTCCCCAAGCCCCGCAGTGGCTCAGTAAACCAATGCAAAATGGTTGTATTCCTGTATTCTCTGAGCAGATTTTCACGTTCCCCATTCTTGTCCTGTTACCCTGTTTCCACAGACTTCCCTTCCTTTACGACAAGACATAAGAAACAACCCCAATCCAAAGGACCCAAGTAGCTGTTAACTTCTCCAGGGCCCATAAGTGATGTTTTCCTCCCTGTGGGTCAGGCCCAGGTTCGCCCCACCAACCAGCACCTTCGTGCAGCCCCCAGAGGCCGTGCAAACTCTCTGGATGCTGAAGCCTGTACCCCCACCCTGCGCTCCCCCCGCCTGAGACCTGACCGAGCGTGGTGCTTGTGGTGTGGCTGGGACAGGCCACAGCAGCTCTCTGCCCCCAACAATCCCCCAACTCACCATGATCCAGAGGGGGGAAGACACCTGGGACAGGGTGTGGGAGTTGTCAGAGGTTACAGACGGGACCCCCGCGCACCAGAGCAGCGAGAAGAGCCACGGCGCGTTGACCGTGTAGAGGTTTACGCTCAGGTTCCAGGACGCATAGTCCCTGCAGGCCAGGGGACACAGGCTGGTCGGCCCTCGGATCTGGGCCTCGGGGCCCAGCATGGGGAGTCTGTAAAGCCTGTCCCCTTCACAACCTCATGCCATCCCCACAACTGTCCCTGGAGGAAGGACCTCTGCTCCAGAGGGCCAGGCTCAGGTACCAACCCAGGTCTGCCCGATGCTCACAACCTCTCTGCTCTGAAGCAGGAGCCCCTGTGCATCCAGCCCTGTGCCCAGATGTGTGAGGGTGACAGGAGTAGGGCAGACTGTCTCCCCCTCCCCTGGGTGAGCCTGGGGCTGGCACCTGAGCTCCTGGTGGGACACCTGCGTGTAGCGCAGGTTCAGCCACTGGATGTGGCCTCTCCGCAGGCTGGCAGCCGCCTCCTTGGAGCCCGATGTCTGCTGGAAGCCAGGAGCCACCTTCCGCACCAGGGGCCTCTGCCTGTTAGGCAGCCACATGACCTGCAGGCAGGAGGGGTGGGCTCAGACTGCTGTCCTGTAAAATGTGGTTAGGGTGTCTACCCCTCCTAGAGCCCCTGGAAGGGTTAAAAACGACAGACTGGCACATAGTGAAAGCTCACGTGTAATCATCATCATCATCAGGGACCACATCGTCATGAGGGGCCCAGCAAGGCTGAAAATTGCTCTGACAAGAACTCAGGCAGTTTCCCCTCTGGATCGTTGTCACCACGAGACTGATAACTCAAATGTCAATTACTCTGCACGTGGCCACCAGCGTCTGCTCTGCTGTTATAAGCTGGGGTCGGATTCCTCTGAGCCCCAAATATTACACCACAAGAATGTGGGCAAGGCTTCGATGAAGTAACAGTGTTCCGGAGAACCTGGACCCACTCCTGCGCTTTCTACATTTTAAAGGACTTTCTTGTTCCCCTCTTGTCCCCATGAGCACCCTGTCAGGGAGGCAAGGGGCATGCTACCCCCATTTTACAAATGTGGAACTTGACGTCTGGAGAAGGGTCATAGGGAGTTTACGCTGGAGGAGGACTCCAGCCATGCCAGGTCTCCGCGAGGGTGGGGCAGTACGGGTCTCCTCCAGGGGGTGGGGCTCCTCCAGGGGGCTGGGAAGGGCGGAGCTTCTTGGGGGGTGCGGAGGCGGAGCTGGGACGCCGGGCCTCGCCTGGTGCTGGGGGATGCCTGAGCGCAGCAGAGCCTCCAGCGTGAAGTTGAGGAAGGTGCCGCGGTAGGGGTGCTCCCGCGGCGGGTCACGCAGGTTGAGCAACAGCGTGGCATTGCCCTTGACCAGCTCCAGGAGCTCAGCTAGGCTGCAGATGGACTGGTTCTGGGCCTCCCTGTGGTCGGAGGGCGACAGGGAGCTGGCAGTCCAGAAGGGGTCCGTCTGGCAGAGACAGGGACACACATGGCTGCGTCACCAGCGCCTTGGGGCACCCACGTGCCTTCCTGGCAACCGAGAGCGGAGACCCCTGAGCCGCCAGTGTTTGCTGGTGTGTGCATGTCAGGCAAATTGATGGCTGTGGCCCTGTGGGGCCTCTAGGAGTCCCCAGTCCTAACCTCTCTTTCCCGCCCTGTTTACCAAAGAATCACTTGGTAATTGATCACAAATTACCCCAGCACATTTTTCCTTTACCAGCATTTCAGACCAGACAACCAGCCTCCCTCTAGAGTTTGAGAGTAAACAATTTTAACTATTAACCATTATCATCACCATCAACCTTCTCTGCTGGGGGAAACAGAAGCTTCTGATGAGGCAGTGACAACCATGACATCCGGGCTGCAGTGGCAGAAGCCCAGGCGGTCGCTAACCAGCCTGACTGTGAGTCGGGGGGGCTCGGGAGTGGGGGTCACCTGAGCTGATAGCCGTCCCTGCCCCCTCGCTCCGTAGGGTCCCCGCCTGTGCCTTCCGCGCCTAGGACTGGGAGAAGCGCAGCCAGACCTTCAGGAACCACTGGCCGGCATTGAGCCTCTGCAGGACAGTCCAGTTGAGCATGGCGGCAGGCCTGCGGGCGAGCTCCGGGAACAACTCCTCCACGTTGGTGGTGCGCCGCAGGGTGGCGTCATGCATGAGGAAGGGCACGCCGTCCAGGCTGCGGGAGGGTGGAGCCACCAAGTCACTGCCCACCCAGGTCCCTCGCCCGCCCACCGATGATCAGGCTCCGCCCCACACACATCCCTCCCCACCTACCTACACCAACCCACTGTGGGATCCGCGCAGGCTCTGCCCCTGTCTGGGCCTCAGGTTCCCCAAGTGCACAGGGAGGACAGTGGGCTGGTAAGCGACCCTCTGACTCTCTCTGAGGGTCAGATGGGCATGGGGACTGCCGAGGAAGGAGGGCTGGGCCTATTCTCTTGGCAACCTTGCAATATAGGCGCTACCGCGTTTGCTAAGGGAAACTGAAGCTGGGAGAGGGCAGTACCTAGCTCAAGGCCCACAAGCCAGTAAGTGGTGGAACCTGACTTAGAACTCTGTCCATGTGATGCATAATGAGAACAGTGCAAATGCAGGCCCCTTTGACAAATTCCACCCCACACCATCCTGGTTTCCCCCACCCAGGCTGCCAATAGCCCATATGGTGTGAAATGGTAAAAGGTATCTGGGTCCCCCTTCCTCAAGGCATTTTATCACCATCTGCTAGAAAGTTTTGATAAATACACAATTCTATGATGTCTACACTGGAAACACTATCCTCATATATGTGGTGCCCTCGTTCAGTACAAAACCTGCGCAACTATATGTGGCAACCCTGCCCCTCTCCCCTTCTTGGAGACAATCTGTTATGAGATTGGTGTGGGTTCTTCTTGCCCTTTATACTAATACATACTCATATATCTATATGTAGAAAACGTATAAGTCACTTTTGTGTGGCCTTTTAAAACATAACTGACATCACAGTGAATGTATCGCACTGCAGTCTGCTTATTTCTTAGAGTGCTTGAGCTCCATCTTGCTGAGCCATGTAGATCTAGTCTTTCTTCAAGTGGATCTGTGGCAGGACTCCAGGTCCCCAGGCTCCACCCCTGCTTGACCCAAGAGCGTCTGTTCTTTTCTCTCTATTATATCCTAGGGTTTAGCACAAGATTTATTTGCATGAATGGGGGCCTGCCCTGCAGTGGATAATCCCAGCCTCCCCACTCCCCCTCCACGGCTCCTCCGGCAGAGACCTTGATGTGGATGCGGTGGGACAGAGGAGGTGCCATCCTTTGACCCCACCCCCTACCTGATGGTGACGTCAGCCTGGAGTCCATACAGCTTCTGCTCCAGGGCCTTCCGGAAGGACATGAGCGTGTGCTCCGGGGCCAGCTGGGGAGGAAATGGGGGAGGGAGGAGATTTAGCTGCGGTGCCCCTCCCCAGCCAGCGGAAAATCTTCCATGTCGGGAGGCTGGGGTGGACCCTTCCAAGCAGTAGCTGTGTGACTCTGGGCACCCGCAGCTGCTCTGAGGCTCAGTTTCCTCACCTGTTAAGTCTCGCTGCCTCGCAGGGTTTCTCGAGAGGAGGGGAAGGCAGGGGCAGTTAGAGCTGATCTATATAAATGCTTGACATATACCGAGCACTTAAGCAGTAGCCATGATCGCTACATTATCGTTGTTGTATGCCAGGCACTGAGCTAGACACTGGGGTGGGAGGGCTTTTGTACCAGTCCTCCGCCTACGGCAGTCTTGGGCTGGGGCTGAATGCCAGGTTTCCTCCCCGAGTCCAGGTGGAGAGCCCAGGGGGAGAGGAGAGTAGATAGCGTGGCAGAGTTTCAGTGGGGGTGACCAGTTACTTCATCTTTACAGACCATCGCCTGGACTGTTATGGATTAAATGCCCCTAGCAGTTGCCTGGTATACAGTAAGTGCTTAATAAATGACAATTGTTAACCCTACAGCACATACATCAAACGATCCTGGTTCTAGCCCTGACTCTGCCATTAACTAGCTTTGTGACCTCGGGTACCTCTCTTTCTCCTATGGACCTCAGTTTCCCCACTTGCCCCTTCAGGACATATATTCACGTTCTCTGAGCGTCCTTCCAGTTGGCAGAGTCTCCTTCCCCTAGTTATGTCTGGTCTGAGGACCCTGTCATACCCGTCGCTGCCACTGGGGGTCAGCACCACACCAAGGATTGGGCTGGGCCCAGGTGCAGTGCCGGGACAGAAGAAAGGGCAGAAGGGGTGGGGTAGAAAGGGTCCGCAGGGCCGGGCTCACCCCCATCAAGACTTGCCCGTGCCCATTCTCTCTCCCTCTGGCCATGCTGTTCCCCAGCGTGTAACACACTTCTTCCTCTGGGAGGCAGGCTGGTCCGGAGAGCCGGCGATGGCAAGGGCTTTGGAGCTGACAGAGAAGGAGCGGCTCCACTTCCCATCACTGCCCTGAGCCATCACCTCTCCTTTGGGAACCTCAGGCTCTTTGGCTATAAAATGGGCTAATGCTGTCAAGTCGTAGGTGAGCTAACAGACCCCAGCAGTCTCTAAGGTGAGCTCCTTTCTTCCCCTTTCCCTGGGACACAGCAGCCTTGGGGGACCTCCTGTCTCCCAGTCCAGTGGTGGAGTCCCGCCCACCTTCACTGTAAATGTCCTGTGGCCAGGCCTCCCATGAGTGACCACTCAAGAGCTACTGGTGCTCCCTCCCTCGCGGTGGGGGCGCAGCAGGTGCACTGTGGGCAGACAGAAGGAGCGTACGCAGCAGGCGCTGCGGAGACCGTAGGGGGCAGAGTCTGTCTCAGCTCAGGTCTCCCCGGGTTTGGTGCTGGCCTCCTGGGAAAGAGGCGTGGAAACCCGGCCCTATGTGGATCTTAATTTTTAACAACTCAACTGTAAAAAGATATTTTTGAGATGAGAAAGGAAAATGGAACATGAATTCAATATCAGATAATAATTAGAAATTAAATATTTTCTACTAACAAAACAATCCATACTGGGGCCACCTTGCTCCTCCCCCTCACCCCTCCCCCCGCCTCAGGTCAGCACACCCTCTCTCCCCTGGCCTCTAGAGCAGGCAGGTGGGTAATCAGGCTGGTGCAGGGAAGAGGAGCTACAATCTGGGGCCCCGCCAGTGGGAAGGCTGCGCTTCTAATTCATCCTCACATACACCAGCAGCGTGAGGCTCAGAGGGGACCAGCAACCCCCAGAAACACAGGAAGCATGTGGCGGACCTAGACCCCAAATCCAGTCCCTCCGAATCCAAAGCCATGGCCGTTCCAGCTGGCTGCCTCCAGGAGGCCCCGGGACCAGCATGGGGTGTGGTGGGAGGGCCCCGGGGCCAGCTCAGGGGCAGGGGCCTCTGAGCCTTATGTGGAAAGTGGGCACAACAAGGCCCACCACACGCGGGGGGCGGGGGGTGGGGAAGGTGGGCTTCAGGGTGATTCGCAGCCCCAGCAGACTCAACTCCTCCTTTTCGAGCAGTTACTTGGAGGGACGCCCTTGACTACCCTGAAATTCAAGGGCACCGTGGAACTCCCAGTCCTTGAGACCACCGAGGACAGCTCCCACGGAGTCCCCAAGCGCCCCCTGGGGGGTGGGGAGTGGTACTGCCGCAGCTGAGAACCAAGGGCGGAGGTGGGGCAGTGGGAGAGGAAACATTTGTCCAGAGGAGGGGGGCCTGCCAAGGTAACAGGAGCGGCTGCCTCTTGCTCTGCGCGCCAGGCTCACGGCTGGCCCTTCAACGGGCGAACTCCTGCTTCCCGGCCCCGGTGCAGGCCCTCTCGCTATCCCAGGGCACAGCATGACACCAGGCACAGAGGAGATGGGAATTAGTCCGGGCTCCCACAGCAGCCCAGGGGCTGGGGAAGCCTGGCCCTGGGGCCCCCTCTCAAGGGAGGGTCTGTGTGGGGTTGCGGCGTCAGTGGAGTGGCCGGTGCTGACTCTGACTCCTCCTCTCTCCAATTCAACCCGGTTCCCCTGTCCGGCCGCCGCAGCGGTGGCCCCCGAGCTGCACCCAGCTTCCCTGCCCCCACACCCCAGCAGCTTCTCCCACTGCCTCACCCGGGCCAGCCTGGGCCGGCCGTCGGCCCCGCCTCCACCCCACACCCGGCATCTCTCTCCTGGGCCGTCCTAACGCATAACGCCGGGGTCTGCCAGGCCTAGCACCCGCCTGCGTCTTTCCCGGGCTCTCGGGGTAAAAGTCCAGTCGGTTTGGCAAGGTGTGTTCAGGACTGTTCAGGATTTGGTCTGTCCAAGCTCACCGGCCTTTTCACGGATGCTTCCCATACACCCCTCAAAAGGGGTAAAAGTTGTTTCTGCTATTACATGTGTTACATCCATTTCCTCAAGGTCTACCCCCTGGGGTCTTTGCCCATCTCCCCTAGAATGGCAGCTACCCCCCACACCCTGGTCTGTTAGGACCCTCAGAGGGCACTCACCATGGGGGCCCCGCGGTGGCCGATGAGGGCGGGCTTGGGGCCCAGGTCCTTTTTCTCCATGATGCAGGGAGAGGAGATGGAGAGAGGGGCCAGGTAGAGGGCGAACACCACCGCGAAGAAGGTACAGAGAATGGCCATCTGGGAGGCTGCAGACATGGGGCGTGAGCGCCGCCTCGGGGGCTGCCGGGCTCCCGCCAGGCCCAATCATGAGCCTGGGCAGGTTGGGGTAGGGATGCTGGGCCCCTCCTCCCTCCAGCTATCAGGCCCCAGGTGCTCTGAGGGGACCCTGCACCAAGGGCAGCCCCCATTCTTGCTGGGAGGGTGAACCTGGCCTCTCAATTCATACACAGACACACAGACAGAGAGACGCAGAGGAGGAAACACAAGCCGACTGAGGCTGCAACCCTCCGCGGAACCTTGGGCCACTCAACCAGAACCCCCCATGCTGAGGGTGAGGACCCCACATCACCCAGGTGAGGGCAGGAAAGCTGGCCTTGGTACTTGGAGGGCACGGGGGGGGGGTGGTCAGGTCCTGCCCAGCTGTACTTACAGGACCGCTCTGCGCGGGCAAACTGTCCTGCCACGATCCAGGAGAGCGCAGTGATGGCAGCCAGGGCCCCCACATGCAGGAATGGTGCTGTGCCCTTGTGTGTGGGAGGGAGCAAGAGGGACCATTGGTTCCCAGCCATGCCCAGACCCTCTGGTCACCAATTTCCTGACGGCCTCTCTTGATCCATGGGGCAGGCAACTCTGTCTCCATTTTCCAATGGAGGAAATGGGGATCCAGGGACCCTGGGGTGTAGCACCCTCCCTGCCTCTGACTTGCTATGTGACCTGGACCCCTCCCAGGCCCCTCTGGGCCTTGGTCTGGAGAAACAGGAATGAGAAAAAGGTGCTGCCAGGTTTGAGGGTCGTGGGGAAGCAGCCGCCCTACCCCCCACCCCACTCACCTGCAGGGAGATGAGCAGCACCTCCCACTCGTCCTCCCACAGCTGGGCCACGGCCGACATGGCCACCACTGTGGACACCAGGATGACCACCAGCCCTATCTGGAAGGGGGAAGAGCCACCAGACAGAGGATCAGAGCAGGGTCAGAGCCTGGACAGCCCGAAGGTCCCCAGTGTATCTGAGAGAGGGAGAGACTGAGAGACAGACAGGAGAAATGGACAGAGCAAGAAGGCCTGGCAGGGAAGAGGGAAAGCAGGAAAGAGACAGGCATGGACTGAAAGAAAGCCAGAGACAGCCAGACAGAGATGACGGTGAGACACAGGCAGACCCAGCGAAGGAGGAGGGACTGAGCGAGAACTAGAGGAGGATGGAGAGGAGACAGGTGGGACAGAGCTGGGGTAGGGTGACGGAGAGGCAGCTCCGGGAATCGGCTTCACTGCTGGTGAGGAGGGAAGACTCTCTGCAAATGGGGGGCCTCCCCTGGGCCCAGAAGGTCGTCCACAGCCTCACCCAGTCCCCCCAACAACCTTTCATTCAGCATGACAGATGAGGAAACTGAGGCCCCACTGAGAACCATGACTGGCCCTGGTCTCGGGGCAGGAGCCTGATGCCTGGACCCATCCTCGCGCCCCTGGCTGGGCTCAGCCGCACTTCAGGCTGGGGCGAGTGGTGAGGCAGGTCCTGCCCCAGCCTCTGAGCTTCCAGCTTTGAATGTGTTATGGGGCTGCCCTCTCACCAAGAGAAGCAAGGAGCACAGCTGATGGAGGGCGAGATGGAACCTTGACAGGACAGGGATCTCGGGACGGGTGGGATCTGAAACACCTCATGCACTGCAAGATGGTCCCTGAAACTAAGTAAAGCCTGGTTTCTGGCTGCTCAGCCCCCATGTTACCCCTTGAGTCCTGGCTCTCACTGTACCCACCTTCCCTGCATTACAGGGCCTGCCTCCTAAGCCCAGGTCCCACCTCTACCCCAAGGCCTTTGTTCATGGCCCCCACGCTCCATAACAGGCCACCCAGGCCCCCACAGCCTGCCCACCACCGCCTCCAGCGCATCTCCCTGCCGGCAGGGCCCGCGCCCTCCTCTGCCCGCACCACCTTTCCTAGAGGCAGCCCCATTCTGAGAAACCGCCAACGACTGCCCCAGCTCTAAATTGAGTTTCTAGGTGGTGAAGGCAGAGACAGCGGCTGATCTATCTGGTTCCCTGCCAGACAGGGAAGGTTCATTCTTGCCTAGGATTGAGTTTTCCTTGGGAGGTTTGTCATCCCAGCCCATCAGCCTGGAAATGAATGTTCCAATAAGAAACAGTAATAAGGCTCAGATGGGTTGGGGCCTTTATGGACTGTGACGGGCCAGCCCGGGGAACACGGGGAGGGGAGGAATGCAGGGGCATGAGGGCCCAAGTGTGCCTGGCCCAACTTCCTCATGTTTATTCCCGTCCTGTCCCAGGTGAGGTGTTACCATGTTTGTTTCACACAGAGGACAACGGGGCTTGGACAGCACAAGAGTCTGCCTGCCACGCAGCTTTCAGGGGGCGGATCCAGAACCAAACCCCATTCCGCCTGTCTCAGAGGTCACACTCCTCCTGGGACGTCATGCGGCAGTGACACTGGAGCCCAAGGAGTGTCCTAACCATCCCTGAGAACTCCCCCTCAACATGCAGGCTCCCTGCCCCCTGCTGCTCCCTCCAGGCCGGCCCAGGGCCCAGCGCGCCTCTGGGAAGGCTGGCTTCTGAGAGCATCTTATTACAATATGTTACTAACCACTAGTGGAAATACTGGCAATAAAACTGATTCCCCATAATCCTAACGCAATTAAGGAATTTATTCTCTCTGAGTTTTGCAGTGGCAACCATTATGCTCAGCAGCATTATTAAAATGTTCAGTGTCTGTGGGATTCCCCCCACACACTGTGTCCTTAAGCCACAGGACCAGCACTGACTCCCAACAATGTGCCACCATTCCTTAAACCTACTGGAAAGGATCAGTCCCGCCCCGGAGGCCCAGCGACAGTCCAGTGTTCTCCACTGAGAAATCGGTCCTTGGTTTTCTATGTGGTGGGACTGTGGCTCGTGATGACAGGGGGAGGGGTGGAGGAGACAGGAGGGACATCCGTTCCTTCAGGGAGCCTCGCCGGGGTGCCGGGATGTGAGGAGCTGGAGCCCAGCCATGCAGAGGTGTGGCAGGTTGACCTCCTGGGGGCAGGTGGAACCTGGGTTCTGTGGTCCAAATGGCAGATGGCTGGCACAGGGTACAGGGCCACACTTGAGTCACATCCCTCGGTGAGTCTGCCTAATGGGAGACGCTAACCTCTCAAAGTGTGTTCCCTGGGCTGTGCAATAGGGAGAGTGAGTGCCCACCTAAAAGGTGTTTGGGACGAGAAATGAGAAAATGCAAGGGGAGTGCCTGGCACCAAAACAGGAAATGCTTACTAAATGTTAGGCGTATAATTTTAGTTTTTATTTTTTTGTGAGGAAGATTGGCCCTGAGCTAACATCTGTTGCCAATCTTCCTCTTTTTGCTTGAGCAAGATTGTTGCTCAGTTAACATTTGTGCCAGTCTTCCTCTATTTTATGTGGGATGCCACCACAGCATGGCTTCACAAGCAGTGCTAGGTCTGTGCCTGGGATCCAAACTCGTGAACCCCGGGCTACCGAAGCAGAGCACGTGAACTTAGCTGCTATATCACAGGGCCAGCCCCAGCGGTATAATTTTAAAAAGTGGGCATAATATCAAGTGAACAGGATTATTACAAGGGTAAGTGATATACTGTGTGGAAAGCGCCTGACACGTAGAGTAAGTGCCCAGTAAATGATGGCCATGGCTGTTATGACGAGCAGAGAGCCAGACATGCAGGACATGCTCTCCAAGAATGTGCCTTCCCACACCGCAGCTGGAGGGACACAGGCTAGACACCAAGAACTGTGGAGCCTGGGCCGGTTGTTTGGAGGGATGCTGATGAAGAGAATGTGGAGAGATGCAAGCAGAGGTGCTGATGGGGCCTGGGCTGGGGGCTGCTGCCCCTACGGAGGGAAGTCAGGTGAGGACACGGACAGGAGCAGCATGGAATGACCAGTGCTAGGACAGGGGACAGCATGGTTAGGTGGGGGCTGTGATAAAAGCCCCTCATGGCAGTGGCATCTGAGCTCATTCTGGGGTAAGGGGTTGGGAGAAGGGGGGCATCTCAGGGAAAAGGCCTCCTGTTTCCTGTGAAGCCCCCAGCCCACTTCAGCTTCTTCCTCACCTCCTGGCCCTGGACTTCTCCTGGAGGCTCACCTGGGAGCAGCTTCTGGGAAACAGGAGCTATGGGAGGACTGGGGAGGAGGGGAAGGTCCCCACGTGGACACTCGGATCCCCTCACAGCCCCCAGCCTGCCCCAAATGGCTCCCTCCCCACGCCATCTTGGGCACCTCTGTGCTCCGGCCCTCCCCCTACTTGGGACTCAGAGGGGACCAGAGACTCTCAAAATAAAGGTCATGATCGAAACAATATAAAACTGTAGTATTTAAAGCAGTATGATACTGGTCTAAGACCAGAGAGATAAATGAAAGTAAGTAAAAAGCTCAGAAACAACCTAAATACATTAAAAAAATTTAGCATATGATAGAAAGTGGCATCTCGAATTAGTAGAAAGATGGATAAGTCAAGAGGGTCACGGACACTGGGGAGCCATCTGGAAAGAACAAAGTATGATCACCCTGTACCCCAAAATAACTTCCAACAAGATAAAAAAATTTAAATGTTGAGAAAAAGGAGAAACATATAATTACCAAATGATACCACAAAGAACTTTTGTATAATCTTTGAGTTGGAAAGACTTTTCTAAGTCTGACACAAAACCCAGGAGCCATCAAAGAGATGACAGATTCTTAAGAATAAAAAATACCTACGGCAGAATTACAAAAAGCAAGTCAAAAGATGGATGACAAACTAGGAAGAATTATTTGTAGTTCATCAGCCAAAGGGCTAATTTTAGGAATTTATAAAGAGCTCCGCAAATTAATAAGCAAAAAGCAAATCTCACAGCATAAAGAGCAAAAGATATGAGGAGACATACAGAAAAGGAAATGCAAATGACTCCAGCAGATGAAAGTTGCCAATTCTAACTCAACATAAGGGAGATGCAAAGGAAAACTACACTGAGGTTCCATTTTCACCCATCGGATAGGCAAAGGTCAAGAAATGTGCGCACAGTTCTGGGCAAAGGGGTTTTCCTAGGCACAGTCATACGGGGCTGAGGAGCATGAATTGGTGGTATCTGGCAAGGAGGCAATTCGGCGACAATTCTCACAATGACAGAAGTGCACACTCTTTACCCAGCAATTCCCCACCCAGGTCACTGCCACATCGTCCTGGCAATGAACTGAAAGCAACTGGGATGGCCATCAGGCCCGTCAACAGGGGACTGGCCAGGGAACTCGGGATTAGACGGTGGGACAGGAGCAAAGGATGGACACCAATGGGAATGCTCTTAATGTACCGAAGGGGAAGGTGCTCCAAAGATTTTGTTAAGGTGCAGAAGAGAAGGGATAGTGAGCTACGACTTGTGTTTACAGAAAAAGGAGAAAGGAAATGTATTTGTCTATTTGTATGTTCTTAAAATATCCCTGGAAAGATAGTAGGGGCATTTACACAGTGTACTTTTTTGTACCTTTTAAATTCCGACCCATGTCAATGTATTAGATAATCAAAAATTGTTTAAAACAAAGAAAAAGAATACGGATTCCTTAGAATCTTAGAATCAAACGATAGAATCTTGGAAACAATAGAATTTCCAGCCTCTACTTGAATACTCTGAGCCCTCCCTCCTGGGGCAGTGGGTCCAGCTATGGACCAGCTCAGCCCGGAAGGCCCTTCCTCGTGCTGAGATCTCGTGGGAGTGGGCAGAGGGGAGAGGAAGGCGGGCTGGCACCCCGGGAGCTGGCCCCAGTGCAGATAAAGGGATCTGATCCTCCTGCCCCCAGGAGAAGATTCCCTGCACTGATCTGCCACTCTGGCTGGCTCGTGCCTCCAGGGGCCCCTCCAGCAGGATCAAGCAGGTGTGAGCAGGCCTGCTGAGAGCCAGGCCTGGCAGAGGAGGGGACCGCAGGGTGAACAGCCCCACCCGGGCTGCCAGCTGCTGCAGTTCCTTCAAGTGTCAGCTTTGCAGCCGGGAGAAGACAGCGCCTCACAGAGCAGACTTGAGAAGCCCAGAGGAGACCTCGGGATAGAGTGACAAGCGGAGGAAGGTGGGAGGGGACCTGGGGCTGCTGCCTGCTCTTCGCCCGTCCAGGACTGTAGTCACCTGGTTCTGACCGCCCAGCTCCAGAGCATGGAGGGCCCCCAGATGCCCACAGGCACCTCCCACTCCACACAGCCCAACTGGAGCTCACCACGTCCTCCTTCTGCTCCCTGCTCCATGTCCTCCAGGCTGGAAGTGAGCCCCTCCCCTCACAGTCACTTGACCCACCTCATGGACTCATGGTTACTTCTGGACATTTCTGCCCCTTCCTAAATGGTGTGCCCCTCTGAGCCAGGCACTGGGAAAGGAGAGATGGCCCAGCCCTCCCTCCAAAGCACAGGGGCTCTCTCTTGGTCATCTCTGTGCCACCCCTGTGCCCACTGGGGCCCCAAGAAAAGCAGGCATCAGCCACACACATTCAGCACCATGCATGCAATGAATGGTGATGAGAGAGTTGAGGCTGGGGATGGATGACCTCTCCCTGCTCTGGGCCCCGCCCTGAGTGGGGCACTGGGGACATGGAGATGGGTGAAGCTAATTCTGGCCTGCAAGGAGCTCCCAGACTGGGGAGGGTTAGGGTCAGAGAGGCAGACAGAGATGGACGACACAGATGCTCAGACTGTGGCAGAGGAGCCTGCCCGGGCTGGGGGAGCCAAGCGCCTGTGTAGGTGGGGGAGGAGGGCCAAGAAGGGTCCAGAAGAGGGAGAAGGGAGGCAAGAGTGGAGAGGTAAAGCAGGGAAGGGCCAGACACGCTGGGAGGACTGAGATGTCTCATGCGGCAGAGGCTGAGGGTGACTGTCCCGTGACAGCAGCTGGGAGCCATCTAAGGGCCTTAATGCTAGAGGCGGGGGGGGGGGGCAGAGGGTTGGGGGTTGGATCATCCCGGGAGCAAGGGGAGTGGCGGAAAGGGCTTTAAGTTGAGGAATTACGTCACGGGATCAGAGGTAAAATGAGCTCGCTGAAGGATGAAGAGGAGAGGGTGAGCCTGAGGCAGAGGCAGCCAGAGGGCGGAGCCGGGACCTGGCCTGGCAAATCGCACTTACTAAGTGGGAGACCTTGGGCATGTCACTTAACCTCTTTGTACCTCAGTTCTCCCAACTGCGAACTGGGATGATAACAGCACCTACATCACAGGCTGGGGAGAGGGTTAAGTGAGTTAGCATAGGCCGGGCCGTGAGGACAGTGCTGGGCACACGGGGAGCACTCGGTGTTGGCTACTAGAACAAGTACAGTCATGGTCCAGGGAGGGATGACGTGTCCAGCTCTGCCTCTGCTGCGACGGCCTCTAGCCTCCCCTCCCCTCTCCCAGCCCGTGGAGGCAGCCCTTACCTTGTGCAGCCAGTGCAGGTTCATCTGCTGCCCCACAGCGATGTGACATAGCGCCAGGACCTGAGGGGGGACCCACAGGGCGGCGGTCAGGCACCAGGCGTGACTTGAAGGCTTCCTCCTTCTCCAGGTCCCCAGGCGCCCGTCTCCCACTGCTGCTCCAAGCAGTCAGCAAACCCTCCCCGCAGGCAGCGGGAATGCCCAGCGCAGCCCAGCCCGAGCCTGGCCTCCCCCCAGATTATTCCAGGCCTCCAGGCTCCTCCTCCTCTAGGATTTCTCCCTCAAGAGGTCCCTGGGCCCTGCTGCAGTGGGACTGCCCAGTCAACATTTCAGGAGTTCCAGGATTCTGAGGCAGACCTGAGTCTTGTCCCCAAGGAGCCCCGAGTGCAGCCTGGGGAATGACCTGAGTCTGAGCGAGTGGCGAACTGGGAGCAGGAACCAAAGCAGAAGTTCCTGTAAGAGGGAGTCTGCAGTGGGCCCACAGAGTGGGATGGCTGTCACCGAGTCTAGGGGACACACTCCAGGAAAGGGCAAGACCAAGATGACCTCCCACCTCGAGGGAACCAAGCCCCAGAGCTGCAGCAGCCCAAGAGGCCCAGGGAAAAGCCAGTTGCCCTCTTTAGACCAGGGCAGGTCCCTCCAACAGCTCAGCACTGGCTAAGTCTCCCTTCCCCCAGGAGCAGGGCCACCTGCCCTCTGAGATGGCCCCACATACCAGGAGGCCTGCGATGTAAGTGAAGGCGGCAGCTGTGGTCATGAGGATGGGCACTGACCAGTCGCTCCAGTAGCCCATGCGGTTGTAGAGGTACCTGCCAGGCGGAGAGGGGCAGGGGTCAGGCCTCCACCAGGGAACAAGGATGCTCCCGTGGGCCGGCCGACTCTTGTGCAGCTGGGCTCAGTGCCAGGCCCTGCCCATTCAGTAACGATGGCATCACTCCCTGACCATCATCAGGCCTGTCAAGGGCTCACAGCGGACACCTGGGCATGCCACAAAGCATAAAGAAGAAAACAATTCCTCGTAGTTCTACTGCCCAGAAGGAACCATTACCAAGGGTTTGTTGACACCAGCCAGGCCGGGCCCCACTGCACACAGCACAGCGGCCAGGGTGTGGGCTTTGGAGGGAGGCACGTGTGGGTTAAAATCCCCACTCCGCCTCTTACTGGCTTGTAGGACCCTGTGGAGGTGACAAGCCTCGCTGATTCTAAGATGCCATCATTTGTGACATTCATCTCAATTTCAATGTTGAATTGTGAAAATACGGGGTCTCAGAACTGACAAACTGTAGCACCTGACTTCTCTAGCCTTAGTTTCCTCCTGTAAGGATGTCGGGATAAGTAATGCACTTCCTGGGCCTCCTGAGGAGGACGTGAGGCGAGCCGCGGGGTGAGTGCTCAGCCAACTATCTCCTTATTAACTCAGCATTTACTGACATCGGTATAAATCCAGAGAAATGGGATTTTTCAATAGCCATGTGGTCTTCTATTGAATTAATGTACCCTATGTAGCCAACCTCCTCCCAGTGGCCATTAATAGCTTCCAATTATTCACTGTTACAAAGTAACACAAAAATGAAAATTTTGCATGTATCTTTCTGTATTAGTAAGTATTTCTTTAGGATAAACTTCTATGAATACAATTATAGATAGGGCCAAAGGGAATGAACTTTTTAAGGCTCCTGATGGATACTGCTTAGCTGCTCTCCAGAAAGGCTGAACCACCCACATCCTCCCTGTACAACCGGGGAAACTGAGGCTCAGAGAAGGCAGCAACTTGTTCAGGGTGGTCAGAGAATGTGAGCCGGCGCCAGGCAGTTTCAGGCCTGCTGCCGTCTTGGGCCTTGGCAGCGGGCTGGGAGGGGACACCAAGAGGACGGTGCAGGCATCTGCCAGCCCCTGCACCCTTCCCTGGCTCTCAGCCTCAGATTCCGGGGGAAACCTACTGCCTGGAAGATCACTGAGCACACTCTTCTTACTGTGCAGTTGGGGAAACTGAGGCCCAAAGAGGGGTGGCCCTGCTCCTGGCAGCCACTCCTGAAAGATGTTTGGTTCCACTTGTCTCTCACTTTTGGCAGACAGCCCTCCACAGCAGCCCGGACGGCCCTCCCTGCTCTCCTCGGGCAGCGCTGACCCGCCAGGTCTTACTCACAGGTCTTGCTCTCCCTGCAGGAACGATCCCAGAGCCTCTGGGGACCATGAGCGTCAGGGTCTCCTGAACCCCAGCAGCGACTCCCAGCACTGGAGGTGACAGGCTGAGGGCGCTGCAGGTTTCAGGCCATCCCTAAGTCCCAGGTTAGGCCTTCCGTGTGCAGCCTCCCAGAGAGGGCGGGCACCCATCCTCCGCTTGAGCCGCCCAGTGACAGGGAGCTCACCCTCTGAGCAGAGTGGCGTAGCTCCATAGACAGCATGATACAGTCAGTCAGGCTCAAGTCCCCGTCCCAGATCTGTCTGCATCTCGCTGTGTGACTTTGGAAAGGCTACTTAACTTCTCTGAGCCTCAGTCTCCTCAGACTGTCCTCAATATGTGTTTCTGGCAGTAACTGGTTATGTGGCCGTGGGTGAGTCCTGCCCCTCTCTGGGCCTTAGTTTCTCCATCTGTACATGAGAGGGGCGGACCCAATGATCTCCCAGGCAGCAGACCGCCGGGTCAGCAGAACTGCCCAGTCTGCAGTCGAGGGCCACCAGGGAAGGTCCCATTTATCCGCAACAGTGCTGTGCTTCGGATACTTGCGAGGATGAATAATTGATTTATGGTATTTAATAAAGGCCAGAGGCCACCCCTGGGGCTCAGCTGGGGCTCCGGCTCATCTCACCAGGCTGCAGCGGGACAGCAGCGCGTCCTTTATTGGGCTCATTAATAACAGAGACACAGCCTAGCGCCGTGCAGAGGAGAGTGGATGCTCAGACCCTAGGAACGGAATCTTAGGATCATCACAGACTCCTAGAACCACGGCCCACCACAAGCCCAGAGTCCTAGAAATCCCAAATCCTAACACCATGACCACCTTCCAGCTGCAGATTCAGCTTCCCAGGGAGCAGCCCTCAGGTTTAGGTGGAGCTTTGAGCCCTGTCAAGTTCACTATCTCATTTCATCCTCAGAAAGGCCTGATGAGGTCCCCATTTTACAGAAGAGGACACTGAGGCTCAGAGAGGACCAAAGACTTGCTCACAGTCACACTGAGCTGAACTTCTGACAACACAGGAAGGGGAGTGAGCAGGGCTGGCTTCCAAGCATCAGCTTGCCCCCACCTGGCTGTGTGACGTTGGGCCTCAGTTTCCACACCTGTCAATGGAGGAGTTCCCACTAGAACCCAGGGTTCCTTCCCCTCCTCCCACGGCCTTTCACCAATTGACAAAGGCAGGAAATAGAGGCAGGAGCGAGGAAGAAACAGGTGCCCTCCTGTACCCAGGCAGCAGCCTCAGCCTTGCCCTTGGACCTGAGGCTGGTGCTCACAAAGAAGCTGAGCTGTCTCAGAACCAAACCATCTGCCTGCCTGCTGCCCAAGGCCCTGCTCAGGGAGTTCCGAGGCCTAGGGGCTGGGGCCACCTCCTCTGCTGAGGCCTGGGTCTCTCCAGGCCTTGGAGTTCTTGTCTACAAAGGGGCCCAGGGCCCCAGCCCAGCACTGAGCCCCGCCGCAGCCTTACATTCCTATTTTCCATGATGGCAGCGCAAGGAAGGAGTTCCCTGTTCTCCCCAGCTGGTCTTGGCTCCCGCTAAGCCTTTGTTCTTCCCAGAGGACCCTGCCCCCAAGGCCACACAGAGCTGGTGGCAGAACTCTGAGGACCAGCCTGGGAGAGGCTCAAACCCAAGCCCCACCACCAGCCCCGTCCCAGCCCCCGGAGGCCCAGGCCCTCGTCCCTCCCACCCACTCACCAGTTGAATTCGTCGTAGTCATTGTGCGCTTCCCACCAGAAGTAGAGCCAGATGAGTGTGAGGCCGAAGGTGAAGGTGAGGAGCAGGAACCACAGGCGCTCCCACTGGAAGAGCAGCCGAGGAAAGGGGTCAAGTGGGGTCAGGGCTGGCCCTGCAAGCCGCCTCCCACCAAATGCTCCCTCCTCTTCCCCCTTAGTAGCCAAACCTGCCAGGTAGGAATTACTACCCTCTTCACACTGGTGGGGACCTTAGGCTCAGAGAAGGGAAGTGACCTGTCCAACATCACAGAACCAGAAGTTGCAAAATAGTGGGGAGCTAGGAACAGGATCAGGGGTCCACCCCAGAGCTGGGCCCGTTTTGCTGTAGCCCGAGGCCTTTCCAGCGTGTGAGGTTACCCTATTCTGGCGATGGCCCCCGGAAGCAAAGGCAGTGTGGGCCCTAAGCTTTTGCACTGGCCTGGTGGTCACATCCCTCACCTCCTTCCCTCCTCACATAGGCCTACAAAACAGGTGCTGTTCTTCCGCACCTCTGCCCTATGCTACCCATAAAAACACTGAGGCCCAGACAGGCAAAGCAACTTGCCCAAGTCACAGAGCAAGTTAGCAGAGGGTTAAAGACCAGCTGCCCCCTCCCCTCCGGACTTGAGGAAGTGTTCAGCCGCCTCCCCCAGGCGCTGGCCCCTCCGGACTGGGGAGGCCGCCCCTCTGTCTGCTGCAGGGATGGGGGTGGGGTGGTGGGGGCTGCTGACCGCCCCTGCTGCTTCCCAGCGGCTGGCTCAGAGGTCCACAGGCGCTTCCGGCCAGGCGCCCAGGTCTATCCCTGCTTTCATCCATCCCCTTATCTCAGAAGCACAACAAGCTCAGAACATCCTGCCCTCTGGAAACTGCTGAGGTCATCAGAACAAAGCCACAGCCATTGAGGGGAAGACAGTGCAGGAGAGAACCAAGACCACTCGCCCCTGGAGGGCTGGAGGGCTGGAGGAGTCGGGGCAGCTCCCGCCTGGCACTGCCCAGGCCCCGGGCCAGGCTCCCTGCAGCTCACCCCGGCACAGGACAGCCAGCCCCAGGGGTGGCTCTAACCCCAGCTTACCTCTTGATGGCTCCTCACTGCTAAGCCAAGCAGGGAGGCCCCTCTGGGCGTGTCCCCTGGACCTCTCTAGCTCCATCCCCCGACCAGTTCCCTCACCATGGAAGGGCCACTGTCCCCTGGGCTTGCGCACCAAACATTCACATTCGCCTTTCCAATCAGCTCAAATTATCACCTCCTCTGTGAAGCCTCCCTGGACTCCGCCCCTGCCACCATGCTCCCTCCTGGGGGGGGGGGGGCCCACCATCAGTGTCCCTGCCCTTAAACTTGTACTCTGTGCACGGTGACCTGCTCATGTGACTGTGTCTCCCAGAAGACAACTGTGTCCCCGGGGGTTCTGCAAGGACAGGGACGGGGCCTGCCTCCACTCCCTTGGTGGTTATGACTGTCAGAAGAGGAGGGAATGTTCCCTTGCTGCCCAGGGTACCTCCACCCTGGGCCCCCAAGAGACCTGCAGTGGAGTGGTCCCGCATAGTGTCTGCAGCCAGAGGACTCCCTGCCCTTCACTTAGATGCTACATGACCTCGGACACCAAAAGCTGACGGAACCGTTCTGTGCCTCAGTTTCCTCCTCTGTGAAACGAGGACGATAACAGCACTTACACCACGGGATTGATGTGAGAATTAAATGAGATAACACAAGTCGAGTGCGGGGACCACGGCTGGCAGGCAGCAGTGCTCGGTCAGCGCATGTGCGCCTTCCTGTCTGCAGCACGGGGACAGGTCCTCAGGCCCAAGCCACAACCGCGCCATCGGGCACCCGCTGCGGGCCTTGCCAGGCAGGAGGGCTCGAGCCTGGGTGACAGCCAAAGCAGCCCCACCACACACTGTCATGTGCAGAGCCAGGCTGCCCGGCCCCACTTTGTGCAGAGATGTGGGGGGTCCCTGAAGCCGCTTTGCAGCAGGCGGAAGGGTGGCTTCTCCGAGGGCAGGCCCCACTCAGACACGGGTGGCGCAGCCCCAGCTCCAGGCCCGGCGGGGCTCAACCTCACACAGGAACCGGGAAACCCCGGTTGGGAGCGGGGCGAGCCATTGCCCTCCAGGAGCAATGGAACCCGGGTAGCCACTGGCCAAAGAACAGCTGGGACTGTCTGGAAGAGCAGAGAAGGGCCACAGTTCAGTGCTGCTTCCTGTGGCTGGGTCCTGGGCCCCAGAGCGGCTGGCCCACACTGCCACATCTGAGCCAGCACCCCCAGCATCCCCCACCCCCCCAGTCCTTCTAAGGGTCCCCCTTGCTGCCTCCAATTCTTACTTGCTCACGAATAAGAATTTATTTGCCCCATCTCCTGCAGAGAGCAGCTGCTGGGTCCCAGGCCAGCTAAAACATCTGGGTCTCCCAGCACTGATGCCCCTGCGGTCATGTCACTCTCCAAGCTCTGTGTCCCCAGTCCCCGCCTCTGCCCCACACATGCGCTTTACATGCCATGCAGGAAATCACCCACACTTCCTCAAACAGGCTCTCTCAGGCCCAGTGCCTTTGCACAAGCCAGACCCTCCATCTAGAAAGCAACCTAGTCCAGGGGGCAACTCCTCCCCCTCCGGGGCCTTTCCTGTCCCAGCAGGGAGCCTCCGGTCTTCTCAGAGCTCCCACAACCCTTGCCCGGGTGTCTGTTACACAGCACAGAGCCCACAGTTCCACAACTGTCTCTCTGTGTGTTGGTCTCCCCTATTATACTGTGAGCGCCTTGAAGATCTGGGTGGTCTTCGTATTGCCAGGTGGGGTAGGAACTTAAGAGATTTAACAGTGAAATGGCAGGTGAGGAGGGGCTGGCCCAGTGGTGTAGCGGTTAAGTGCATATGTTCTGCTTTGGCAGCCTGGGGTTTGCCAGTTCAGATTCTGGGTGCGGACCTACACACCGCTTGTCAACCCATGCTGTGGCAGGTGTCCCATGTATAAAGTAGAGGAAGATAGGCACGGATGTTAGCTCAGGGCCAGTCTTCCTCAGCACAAAGAGGATTGGCAGCAGATGTTAGCTCAGGGCTAATCTTCCTCAAAAAAAAAAAAAAAAAGGAAAGAAAGAAATAGTAGGTGAGGAAACACCCTTCTCTACTCCGACATGAGTGGACCCACCCAAGATGGAGTTCACTGGGGGCTTCCTACCCCACCCTGACAGAGGAGCCTTTAGTCTTCTGTGGACCCCGAGCTGGTGGTGGTGAGTGGCCATCTGTCCACAGAGATGGCTCTACCTCAGCAGGCGTGAGGCCACTGCACCTCTGACCAGCAGACAGGTTCTGAGACAGGCCCAGCGACGGGGGAGCCTCAGCCTACGGTGTGCCCTGTTGCAGGCAAGCAGCCTGGAGGTCGATAGGTGGTGGGACCAGGAGCTAGCTGCAGGGACAATGACAAAGATGCTGAGGAGATGTCCTGTGGCGAGCTGAGATACAGGACCCAAGGGCAATGCTGACAGGTGGCCAGGAAGACAGCAGGGATCAGGACAGCCCACGGCACCCAGGGGTCTCGTATATTGTCCTCACTTGGCCAGATCCTGACAGTGGAGCAGGGAGGACAGGGCAAGGATAAGGGCTGTCCAGCCCCACCCTGCAAACCAGCCAGGGTGACAAGATAAGAGCCGGCAGGTGGGTGAGCCAGCCAGGGCGCAGCAGGGATGGGGGCAGGGCCTAAGCAACAAGGACCTAGGAACCCCATTATCAGAACTGGGCAGGAGCTTGGATGGGGGCCACCCAGGGATGAAAGTCCTGGGAGCGGGCAGCCAGGGGCCCCAGGGCCACGGGGACCTGTAGACGGGGGTGAAGAGGCCCCACTGCAGCGGGGAGGGAAACGGCGCTCAGAACAATCAGAGGAAAAACCTGAAGGGCACGGGCTGGAAGAAAGGGGAGCGGAAGGCCAGGAATAGTGGGAGGAAGTGGTGGGGAGCAGCTCACTGACAGAGGCTCCAAATGGCACTAATTGTCCTTGTCGGGGGCCTTACAGAAGAGAGCCTGTTTCACCCCTTAACAAGCTAGCCTGGCCCTGCTCCCAGGAGATGCAGGTTGCAAGGCCGCTGCCACGCTGGGCAGGACAGTGGGTCCACTGGCACTGTCACCTCTCAGTCTGCACGATGCCTGGGGTTATTCACTCGTGCGTATTTATCCCCATCCGAGAGCAAATGAAGACACTGAGCCTCAGAGCAGGGCCACCAAATCCGGCTGAGCAGGTGCTGCTCACAGTGGTCACTATCCATGTGCAGATGTGTCACACCAATTTGCCAGCAGATGCTGGTCAAGGGTCCTGGGGAAGGGGTGCCTCTTGCTAATTTGCACAAAGGCCCAATATGGGTGAGTGGAGGTGAGTTACAGGTTGAGCAGTGTACCTAAGGTCACGGAGTGGGGAAGGAGTGGAGGGGGGACTGGACCAGGTGGCCTGACAGGAGGCCCCTGCAGGCCCCCTCGGGAGCCAGCCCCCAACAGCTCTCCCCAGAACCCGCCTTGCCTCCTACGACCAGTACGGCCATCCCAGGCCCAGCTTGGCCCTCTAGGATTCCTCTCTCCTCTCTCTGGGGTCACCTCCAGGCCAAACCTCGTTCTTCAGGGAGCCTTCCCACCCCTCCCGCCCCTCAAGGCCTCCTTCCCTGACCGCTTCCGCACGGACTCTTGGTACCCACCAACCGCTTGACCCTCAGTCACATTCTGAACTGTGGACACAGAAAGAGCCCAGACTCAAGAGGTGGGCAGCCCGGGCTCTGCCGCTTGGGCAAGTTATTTAACCCCTTGGAGCCTTGGTTTTCTCACCTGTAAAAAGGGAATAATAGCCCCTACCCGGGCGGGCTGATGTTAAATGAGGTGATATATATCAGGTGGCACACAGTAGGTGCATAATAAAGGATAGTTCACTGGGACTGTGGACTCCTTCAGGACAGGCATGCTCAAGAAATCTGTGTGTGCCCTGGGCCCACGTCCTGCAGGGCACAAGGTGGTGTTCAGATATGGTGTGAGGAATAGAAGGTGTGAACGTGACTGTCACACAGGGAGGTGTCAGGGCCACCAGAATAAGGCTGTCATCCACCCCAGACTGATCCTTA